GGTGGCGAATCACGAAGTTCGCGGGAATCAGGTCACCATGGCTCTGGACTTCGATTTCGAAGCATCACAGATGGCTCGCACAGCACACTACAGTCGACACCCTCTTAACCCATAGGCCTCGGGACAGGCCCGAATATATGGGTTTTGAGGGGTTATGGGCTACGAGAACTTAAGCGCCTTATAAGCGCCCCTGATTAGTCCCAGTTAGCGAGCGCCGGAAAGGCGTCTACTGACCCTTTGAGGGAGCGCTATGGGATTTCGAACAGACTCACCTACCCACAACGTGGTCGGAGCATGGATGGACACTGGGAGGACTCTGGGAAGCATGCATCGAGTATTACAAAGGTTATCGATGAGCGTAATCTCAATGTGAGCCCTATTACCATATGGGTTTTGGGCCCTAGAAAGCTATGGGTTATTGGGTACCAGGGGCCTATGGGTTATTGGGTACCAGGGGCCTATGGGTTATGGGGTCGAATTCCCCCTATCCCGACTTGGGAAAGCCAAAATCCTATGGGTTTCGGGAGTTTATGGGTTACCAGGGGTATGGGTTAGGAGGGTGTCGACTGTAATCACTTTCTTCGACATATCGACAAGGAGACCTCTCATCGACTTCCAACAGCCCCTCAAGAATGACTGCATTGACGACTTCAGACGTTCAGGCGCTTTGGGACCCGAGTGATCGCAAGGCTGATAATCCAGGTGCTTGTTCAACTTATGTGTCAAGGATTCTGCAAAACGCGAGTCCCCAGAACGTGCACCCCCGGGGAAGTATGTCCCTATGCGTTATTCTACACCCTGACGGACGATTTCTTGGGCACTGACATTACCCTCCCGCATCTGCTGCGGACCATCCGGGATCGCGCTGAGGCCGCCTTCCCAAATCTTGACGGGAAGTGGTTTGGGAACCCCCTCCTGCACAAGCTTGGGAAACTTTCTGAGGAAGTTGGATATGTTGCTGGAGAGCAATGTGTGTCATTGACAACTAAAGCGATTGCTCGAACCACAGGTACGCACGCTGCAGGACAACACCCTCCCTGTCATTGACACCCTCCTCCGGGTACTGTACTAGGATGACCTTCCCGCCCGCGGGCGAATGATACTCTAACGGAAATTTTCTGAGAGCCTCACCTCCGAGATGGAGTCGACGGCCTTCGCGATGAAGTCGCCGGTCGCCTTCTTGATCTTCGCCACGACCTCCGGATCCTTGCCATCGAATACCTCTCCTGCTCCAAGGGATTCTGACGAGGTCAAAGTTGCGAGGCGACGCGGTCGTGACGATCTTGTAGTCGGAGGCATGCGCGAGGTGAATGAGACATTGTCCGACAGCAGGTATGTCGTGGATTATGCCCTCTGCAGCGGCACATACGGGGCATAACTCAACACTTCCGCCGAACAGCGACCCATTCCTCTCCAGAAACTTTCGAGGGTGGCTCAACCATGCCGAGACGAGTCGGATGGTACAACGCCTGTACAGCCGTCCACCAGCTGTGGGCATACGTTACAGACGTTGCAGCCCAGTATAACCCAGGGCCATCGCATACGCGCAACTGAGGGGTGGTAGCCTGGTCGTCATCCAGAGTATTCTCCGGAACGACCCATACAAGATCAGCGGGCGTCTTGATGTACTCCGCGTATGCGCCTTCGTCTTCAAGGCAACATCCGTGCACACATCCTGCGACCTGATCGCCGACTTTGGGAGTGAACACGCTCTTCCCGACTTTTACTATATAGCCGATGAAGTCGCAGCCGAGGAAAGTCCGGGTTTACCGTAACTGTCGACACCTGGACTGACCAGATCAAGTCATAGCCCATAGCAGGACAGGTAGACGACACGCACGCTTCCAGTCAGTGGGAATTTGTGCGACAGAAAATGTCCTGACGACATCATTGCCCCCAACCCGAGGAACCGGATGGTCCTCGATCGCGACCTTGTGACCCTTTGCAAGTACCTATCGTTAGCTTCGTGAATCGCAGCAGCTATCCATTTGCATCAGTGACCTCTTTGACGACTACAGCTTTCATTGTCCTAGGGATGGCGGACTCCATAGTCTGTTACGGTCTGGAAATATAAAACCACTCCTGAAGCGTGTGCGATGGACTAGCTGAAATTCAACAGAGGACTCAGGATCGTCTTTGCTTAATTCAGACTCTAGAGCACGATCGGGTGCATAACGCTGACCAACTCCATCAGATAATAGCGCTCCGGAATGCCGATCAGGAAATCCATGGCAGGGTATGGATCGTGGGGGGATCGTCGCACTGTGCGGTACAGTATCTGGCACAGCCAGCTTTACAGTCAGCTGAGACGTCTAATCCTGCGAGCTGAGTTCTAGAGTCAGCTTACTTAGAGCAGGTCGTTTCCGTCTCATGCGCCCGCTTGATATTGCTCACTAGAGGCATTTGCGTTGAGTTCTAGCTGAAGGTGCTCGTAGCGATCGTGAGGTGAAGATGCAACATTCGGCATATAATACACGATATTGAAGCGAATGATACTCTACGTCACTATCTGGGAAGGATGTGTGTAGCTGATGTGCATTGCCGTATGACTACTAATAGGCCGTCATTCGTCGCAAGAGCGTTGCTCCTACAACCAGATGATGAAGCTAATTACAGATATGTACACACTAGCGTCTGAGTCGCTGCCTATGTAAGCGTAGCATCGTGTTGGACGACATCTACTCCCCCAGTAGCTCAAATCTTGTAGACTATTTTCTGCGCGCTGACTTTACCCTCCCGCATATACTGCAGGCCATCTGGGATAGCGGGCAGCCCCCCTTCCCAGAGCTTGACGGGGAGGGATTTCACGCCACCGTCCTTCACGAGCTGCGGCACCTTCTCCAGGAACGCTACCATGTGCGCGGTGTCCTCGTGCGATACGTCGAAGTGATGATTGTTGATCGGCCAGGGGAAGCCACGCCCGAGAGCGGTGTAGATGAGGGTTTCTGGCCGAGGCCCGAACGGGTCAGTGACCCCGTACGACCAGAGGTTGGACCGGACACATACCCTTGAACTGAACGTCTTTCCTGCTCGTGGCGTTGGGATCCTGTGTAAGGACGAGAACAACCTTACCGCCAGACGGACCGAGGGACTCCGCACTGATGGTTTGCGAGCCGTTCTCGGAGATGGTGTCCAAGGCGACGGAGACTGAATCCCCAGTAGCGGCCTTGATCTTGGACACGACCTCGGGATCCTTGTAGTCGAAGACCGCGTCTGCCCCGAGGGACCTCACGAGCTCGAAGTTGCGAGGTGAGGCGGTTGTCACGACTTTGTACCCGGAGAGGCGGAGCAGCTGAATGGCGAATTGGCCAACGGCAGCTGCAGTATGTGATTGAGCGCAGCGAACGTGCGCAAAGCTGCCATAGAGGGCTCACAGCTTCCACCGTACACTAGCACCCACTCCGCCTTGGGAGCTCTTGCGGGAGGCTCAACCAAGCCGAGTCGAGTGGGGTGATACAGCGCCTGTACAGCGGTCCAGAACCTGCAAATACCACGTCGTGAGCACTTCTGTCACAAGCGGGGAGGCAGAGCGTACTCACGCGCAGCCAAAAGTGGCCGCCTCCTCATGGGAGAGCGTGTTCTCCGGCACGACCCAAACGAGGTTCGCTGGTGTCTTGACGTACTCCGCAAAGGCTCCCTCGTCCGTGAAGGCAGACCCATGTACGAACCCAGCGACGTGGTCGCCCACTTTCGGGGTAGAGACGTTCTTGCCAACCTTTACAACATGCCCGGAAAAGTCGCAGCCGTTGATACTGCCCGGCGTTCCTATGAAGTCGACATCTGATGCCGTCCTGAGCACGCGGACTACAAGAGCACAAGAAACAATATGCAGGGACTTACGCTTCCAGTCGGTGGGATTTTGCGCGACTGCCACAGTTTTGATCAGCACGTCGTCGTCTCCGACAGGTGGGACAGGGTGGTCCTTGACTACCGCTTTATGGTCCTGAAGTCGACAATAATCCCGTCATCCGTCATTCAATAGGGCATAAACATAGCCTTCGCGCTCAGGACTCACGTCTGTGATAACGACCGCCTTCATAGTAGTTGGGACGCTAGACGATGCCATTTGCGGGTGCAGATGTGAGTTGGGCTGTCGATTTAGGCTTGACACCAGATGACTTCCTGACTTATATAGTCCTCCAGAAGCATCCACCTTTGAATCTTACTCGGCGATTGTTGGTCCAGGTTTGCTTCCTTAGGTATAGCTTGGTAAGCCGTGATCACTGTGGATGGAGCCTCTGAATCGCAGTGTCATCATTCCAATCGATTACCGGAGAATTCTGCCTGAGTTTGTTCGGTAAGGCACTGCTTGATGCGAGCTACTCTTACTGTAGATGGAGCATCCGATTTGCAATACCAGCGAATTGGCGACCTTAGAGTACTTTGGAACCGGTACTGATACTGAGACGTTACGGTACGGCTCGTCTGCCGCCCAATTATCCAGACGCATGTTCGAACATTAATTAAAATGATCATGCGCACCATCTACATACGAAGACGCTCCTCAACGTACGCGGCAGCAGAAATCCGGAAAGAAGACAAAAGTAGTGCCGGGTGGTGGCAGCTTCCGAGCTGACTCTCATCGGCAGAGCGATATGCGATCAAGGCGCCTGTAGCAAGGCGCTCGCATCTGTTTCCGGAAGAACCAGTCCTGCACGAATGCTTGTTCACCAGGGGGTACCCATTTTTCAAGTCGTTCAAGCCATGCAAAGACTTCGCGCGATCGAAATGTCAATTTGCATGAGAGAAAGGCAGGCTGGAAGCGTAGCAGGACATGCCTTCCTGTACGTGCGCTCCCTGCCGAGGACATTGTCTTGCCTTACAGAGATGCTACGTTTAGCCGTAGACAGTGAGCCACATGCACAGGGCTTCCTGGACCCCCTTCTCGTGCTGGACTCACCACATGCCACATTTCAAGAAATCGTCAGACCAGACCACGTACCAGCGGAGATCATTCGTCACTCCTCGACGACACTCGCTCCGAAGAACACTCCGCCTTCGTCTCTGTCTAGATCACACCAGACCTACGCCGCGACAAGCAAGAAGTGGTGCACCGTGCGCGCTGATTGTATTCGCGTGTCATCGGTGCGAATGTTCCTGTATAGAGCCCGAGTCCCTGAGTTGCATGAAGTCGGACACGAGGGCCAGTCGCTCGTCCTTCAAGACGAGCGACTATGCACTGGCGATGCGACAGCGAAAACCAGAAAACGCTTCCGTATCCCGGTCCGTTCTCCGCCACTAAAGAAATGTCGGCATGAGGTTGAAAGTCGGAGGACGTTGAGATGCGAAGCTATTATTCCTGGATCCAAGCTACATATGGCACAATAAGATAGCGCAGCGACGAACAAGAACAGCCGAGCAAGATCGTACAGTCGTGATGATGGAGCTCGTCGAAAACATGCGAGGCGTGATACAGAACCTTCCAAGGCTTCTCCCGACGGCGACATGGATGAACAGGGCGATTACAAGACATATCTGAAGTCGCGGTTTTGCATATCTGTCAGGTCCAAGAATTCCTAGTAGACAGGCGTAAGGATCACATTTCGGTTGGAGGCACTATCAGCCCAAACGCACGCACCTTGTCGACCTTCTTCTCTACGACGGTACCATCCTTTTGCGTCTGAGAGATGTACACCTCATCGTACTTGGTGTCACGCGGCTCCCTGTCGCGCTTTGTGTTCTCATATACGAAGTAAAAGCGAGTAACGAGGAGGAGGACCGCAGAGACGGCCCAACAGATGGAGAGGATGAGCCACGGGACGTGGTTGCGCGGCTGATACTTGGCTTTCCAGTACTGCGGGCCGGCGGAGTTGCCGACAGCATAGCCTATCATGACGATGGCGTTCGTAGTCAAACCTATCCAGAGAGAAACAAGTTCAACAGAACAGGCGATGTGAGAGACAGGGAAGCGAACAGACGTTTCGTATGGCCGGCGGTGGTCGAACCCAGCCAGGCGAGCATGACGACGAACGGCGCGATGGAAGTAACTGTGCACGGTCGCAGGTCAGCACGCGGAGAGCTCGGGCAGAAGGACTGCGTGAATTACTGGAGATCCAATACGAGAAGAGGAGTCCAACTCGATCGCTCGACGGCAATGTGTTCACGAGGATGGAACCCAGGATTGCCACGCAGTACGCGAGGAAGCCCGAGTAGGCGCGGCCATTCTTCCAGTACGTCGCGGAGGTAACGGTGCACCAAATCACGATGACTGTCGAACAAACCACACGGGTCAGCGATTGTGCCTACAGGACGTATCTCGAGACATCTGGACGCACTCTCAACTACGCCATCGACACATCCGAGGAGCGTTGTCTGCAGCGAGTTGAAGCCGAAGCCTTGGACGATGAGCTGCCGCTGGTTGCTGAGCTACACGCGCACGGCATGTCAGAACGGACGTCCGGCGGCGGAAACCGGCGGATGGAAGCTTACCGAGTTTGTCACGTTCCTGAGAATGTTCCATCAGCCTGCGTCGACAGGAAGAGACAGAGAAGCTCACGAGATGGCAGCGAAGAGGAAGAAGAGCCACGTCTTCGGGTCCATCAGGCACTCGACAAATCTGGGCACGCCGCGTCATGAGCGGCCGGTTTGGCAGATAGATGGATTGGCGCAGTGCGACGACGACATACTGTTCGACCTTGAAGTGCTTGTTCTCGACACCTGCCTGGTTGACTTTGATACGTTCGACCGCGATGATGCGTTCTTCGGGGGTGAGGAACCACGCGGTGGCAGGGGAGTCCGGAAATAGGAACCTGACCGTGAAGCATGATGGGTACGTGCCAAATTCAGAGCCCGGCATACGTACCAGAAAGCCACGGCGACCACAAAGGTGATAATACCGGTGATGATCATCAGCCTGGAAGCACGGGAGTATCAATATCAATATCGCATGGAAGGTGCCACAGAACGGTATCGGGAGCTGACCATTGCCACGGTTGCAGAACATCGTTGTGAATATGGAGTGTCCCATACGCTACGAGACCGAGCAGAATGATTGCTGAGCCATTCATGAGGACTAGCGTTCTATGTCAGGCAAATCGGAGGCAAGCAGAACCGAAGCGAACAAGTGCTTACACCAGTACCCGACGCGCTGAGTCTGCTCCTGGCGGGTGTAGAACATGGACGTGACAATCAGGAATCCGGGCGTAATCGCGCCCTCGCAGATGCCGAGGAACGCACGACACACGAAGAACTCGGCAAAGTTTCTCGCGGCCGTGTGGCACAGCAGTGCGATTGCCCACACGAGGATATTGAAGCTGGATGCAGAGCGATCTGAGCACGCGCGATCCACCGCACACGAACCGAGCACGAACCTCAACCATTTCCCAACAGGTAGATATTGGAGCGCGAGGTTTTGTGGCCATTCGAACCCGAGGAAGAAGAGGTAGAAGGCGGTGCTTAGCCAATTGAACTGGTCCTTGTCGATGTAATGCTTCGGGCCGTTTCTGGGATGGGTTCGCGGGATCAAGTTTGAGTTCCTTCACGGAAGGTGCAATGAGGGGGACGGGACGCACAGCAATCCCAAGACAGCGGACTGTCCTAGCGTCGTCTTGTCTGCGAACTGCATCCTGCATCAAGCATAGAGTTTCAGGGACCGTATCTTCTGAGATCGACAGGAGCAGGTACGAACATGTACAAAACTGGTGAGAGGAAGAAGGCATTCATCAGCACCGCACTCGACCTGATTCATTGCGTGTGCGAAGGTCCAGGAATAGGACATGCTTCGCAGCGAGCAGATGGACTGCCCGCGAAGAGAAGAGAGGCGGTTATGACACTCACTGCACATAAGGGGCATCAAGTGCCAGTCGATCTTCCGCCTGAGCAGTAGAACGCGTTCCTCGTCAGCGCGTGTCTCACATGTCGGGCGCACAGCCGGCAACAGCGTAGACAGAGTACGTACCTTACCCGAGCGGCCTCTGCCGGGTCGAGCACGAAGTCCTTGCCTGCTGTGAGCTCCGCCGCGACATCGACATTCGTCGTGTCGACATGGGGTTTCTCCAGGGGTTGAGCGCCGTTCACGCTACGCTTCTCGTTCACAGAGCTAGTATCGGACTCCATGACGGACTAGGTAAGGGGTATGCTTGTCAGTGAAGCCAAGCCAGGGACCGAGAGCCAAAAGCCTGAGCCTAATCCAGAGAGAGTACGGCGCTGAGGGAGGGAGGGAAGGCGAAGGCGGCAAGGGAGAACAGGGGAAGGCTCGGGGACCGGGAGGGGGTATAGGGTGGATTATAAGAATGGGCATGTCTCGCTTGTTCGGCAGAGCCGGAGTGTCGCCCAGGTGTCGCCCGTTCTGTCTGTCGCCCAACGTCGTCTCAGATCATGCAATCGCATTCAGAAGGTGCTCTCCTTCTCCGGCGCTCGTTGCACCGAGCATACATATTTCTCACCTCCTCTGCGGATCACACGGCGGCCAGACGCCCACTCCGCACTGCATATGCGGTGCCACAGGGTTCGACGTTCAGTCTTCGAGCTCGGCCTCTAGCCACCACGACCCCCAGGTATCCGTGTGCCCGGATCGGAATGAAAGACGGCTCCGTACTGCCCCACAGCGTACTTGTGCTTCTCCTCCGGAATGACGCACCGTGCTCAATTTTCGCGGCTTCTCCCATCCCGTCAACCTCCCAAGGCCACCCACAGCGCCCGTGGAGGAAGCTTTCAAGCCTCCAACTCCGCCGGGGCACAGTCTTCGCTCGCTGCTTTTCTGCAAGCTTGGAACTGATCCTCTCCAAGTGCCCTTCCAGGTATCTCGCGCAGCGTCCATCAAGGAAAACAACTTGGTGGCCATCTTCCGGCGGCGAAACTGTTTCAAATCCTAGCAGATACGATTTGTTCAGGCACCCGCCAAACGCCGCACAGCAACGATGTGCGCGCTCGACATAAGTAGCAATGCGGTCTGAATTCAATATCACCAGGGGCCATGATGCTGTGAGCAGCAATTTGTCGAAGAACCCCCAGGGCGCTGGTGAAGTTCACAACCGCCACGGGCCTGCCGTCAGGACTGATAGTCAAAATCAGCTTCGCGATGCCTAGAAGAGCTGGCCGCCTTGTTGTCGTCTATGGAAGGAGATGGAGAGCAGTCCGGATACTATCGTGCGGCAGCGCGTGCTCGCGGTATCCCGAGGGCATGCGGTTGAGATAGCACTTGAAACGTGTTGGACGGGATCTATTTCGAGTCAGCGTTTCCCCCGACCCAGGATCGGAGGTATGTAAGTAGGGCTCAGATCAGGATTTATCTCCCAAGCGATCGCAGCTGGATATCCTCGGTGTTCAAAGCCCTGCCGTCTTGGGAATTCGAGGATGCCTGCGTCGGCATCTTAACAGGCCTAGCTTGACGCAGGATTTGTTGATATCAAGGTAGTCTCCGGCTCAGTCCGCAGAAGTCGTGCACGGAGAAGTGGTGTAGCGCTTCGTGGCGTTCCGACATCGTAGGATGAGCGTCTGCATGCCATCCAACGGAACCCCTGCATATGCAAGGTCCATTGGTCGCCAACGAGCGAGGTTGGGTGATGGGATGGTGCCGATCGACTTGCCAAAATGTGATCGGTGGCACTGCTAGTCATGACAGTGTGTAGCCCCTGTACTTGGTTGGATTCAAAGCCTGCACTGTACCGACGGTCTTATGAGTTTTTGTTTACTAGTATGGCTATGCAATGTGTGGGACACCCATAGATCTACGTGGTTTTGTTGCTCGATGGGTTGTTGCAAGCTTGGGGATTCGGTCAGTCTGATCGGCCTAGAAATGCATACAATATCATAATAGGTAACGCGCACAACATATGTAACCACAGAAGCATACTACAGCATAGCGATTACGTGGAAGAAGACGAGAGCGGAGAACACGCGACGAGGTCTTACGACACGAGAGTATGTCGTACGCATCGTAAGCGAGACGTACGAACGACGAACCACAAACCGTGGCGGACCACTCCTACCCTCCGGTCGACCGGACTTGAACATCCGCCGACAAACGAGAGCACATCCAAGGAAACAGTCAGACCTGTTTCGCGCAGACCTTCGAGAAGGTGATGCAGGTGGGCGACCTACATGAACGACTGCTCGCGCAGGGATGCCGGGACCTCGATCCAGCCTGGCGGATGATACAAGCTAGACTCCTTCCAAGGAAGCGTCGTGTATATCTTCGGGGAAGGCCGCGGGCTCGCGCTCCGGGTCTGGTCCGAGCTCGGCATATGCAATCCTGGCCGCCACGGAGCGGCGTCGAGGTGAGTGCCCGCCCTTGTCGGGGCAGGGAAGACGGGGCTCGCGCAGACAGGCTCGGACGCTACGGAAGCAGCAGGATTTACCATTGCAGGCGTGGGCTGATGCGGGTGCGGAGGCGTGGCCCCGACATCGCCTGCAGGCCAAAACGTGGGGTGGGGGGCCGGTGCAGGAGGAACGTCCATTGCTGGCTCAGCTGGGGGACGCGCGAGCGCATACGGGTGCAGATGTGCCTGGGCGTCGGGCTGGCCTTGGGCATCGGGTTCCTCGAACGGCGTATGAGGGCCCACATAACACACGCCATCGCCGTCGATGGCACGAGACGAATGCGTCCTGACGATCGTCCCGCAGCAGGTGTAGTACCTGGTGTGGCACATCCCTGGACCATCGCGGGGGTCGTACGGGTCTGGGACGATACAGGGTTGGATGTGGGAGACGATACATGCCTTGGGACCGTTTTCATCATCACGGTACCATTTGGAGCAGCGGGAGCAGCGATACAAGTACGGCCTGACCAACTCTTGCTGAATGACATCCAGATCAATGCCGAGCTCGGCCAAACCTAGGAAGAGGAGATACAGAGGGTTCTGGTGTGGCGTGGCAGACCAGATATCCATTGCGCGTTCAATGGCCCGAGGGACTTCCGCGAGATCACCACGGTCGTAACCCTCTGCGGCGGCATCCATCCTAGGTGACTCCGTAGGTTGACGTGTTTGTGTTACATTTCCCGGCTGGTAGTGGTGCCAGTGGTATTGACGGCCCTGCCCATGCTCCTTGGCTGGTGTAGACGAGTTCGAGTCCCATTCCAGGTACATGCTGATCGGTGGAAGGTAGTACTAGGAAATTTGGAGAGAGCATACGGTTTTTGAACCCGCAGCCCATAGCACCTAGACCATCGAGCGACAGTTTGGCCGCTTTGAACTGAACTTTGTTTGGAAATATGGGCCAAACCACGCCAAGGGTTGCCGTAAGATGTGCAGTAGTTGAATGCCTCTGTTGTCAAGACGCCATGGCTAGGATGAACGAAGCAGTCGGTAGGGCCATTGATGGATGCTGGGTTTGTCACCCTTGAAAGCTGTAAGGTGCACGGGCGATGAATGTGGCAGCGCTTTGTTGAGCCCTAAGGGTCGAGTTACTGTTACGTCGTCAGTACAGACCAAGATCAATCAATATTCTTCGTCACTCGAGTTAGCGAACAAAGAGGAAGGCCGCCCCGATTGTCGTAATCGTACAGCAACCATGGCAACGCTAGTAGGATCTCCATGTCGGCGAGTCCTGCAAGTGGTCAGTATGTATACAAAGAGAACTGGACCACACAATCTAACCAACCACCGCCGGAGCCGGACTAAGCAAGCGCTCACATAGAGATAGACGCCGCCCATGCGCGCGCTGCCTATGCCACAACAACTCCAGAGGCCACCCGGTGCCGTACTGAGCGCACACCGCTTGTGCAATGGATGCTCTCCGGGTTACCAAGGTCGACTCTCCTACTACTTCTGCAAGCTATGTGTGCTGATGTCTGTCTGATCAGGTTGAGGGGGTCTTATGTACCAAGGCCGGGAACACGTCTTCGGGTACCTTGCATCTCACCGCGCACCATGCTATCTTCCATTTCAACGAAGAGGGAAGGGAGGAGATGTGGGTCAGTCCTCTTCTACGCTCATACAGACGTTGATTGACTGTCGTGCGTCCAACCTGGTGCTTTCCAACCGTAGATCCCATACCCTCTCATCTCGCTTGTCTCACGCATGCCCATGACGTTATATGGTCGCTGTCCCCTCACAATCCACACCCGGACACTCGAAACGATCTTGCTGTCGTTTTTTTCGGAGAAGGACGCGATAGATGTCTTTGAGAGCGTGAAGGAGCTTACCGTTGCGAGTGAGTACATGTCTTTTCTGTTGTACCTCACAACAATCCTTGTGCCCCCATCCTCTCCATGTCTGACGATCTCCTTGCAAAGCTTCGATCAACCAGCTCTATGCGTTCTTCTACGTCCCAAATCCACCTTTCGCCGTCTCCGACGGATGGTCATTATACTCTCCCCGCGAGGAGTTCGGCCGGATGGGAGTCGGCACGCGCTCGAAGGCATGGCGCTTCACCAACATCAACAAAGACTATTCTGTGCGTCACCACTATGGCTGACTCGCGTGCGTGTTGTGATAATTACTCTGCCGGCACAGTTCTCTCCGACGTACCCTGCTCGGTTGGTCGTTCCGACGCGCATCAGCGATACTACCCTTCAATACGCAGTTAAATTCCGGAGCAAGGGACGGCTACCGGTCCTGACTTACCTTCATTGGGCAAATTTTGTATGTGTGCCTACATGCATCTTGCCAGCCACAAGTCTGAAACAACGCGCTTTCCTCTTTTCAGGGTTCTATCACGCGGTCCAGTCAACCCATGGTGGGCCTGACAAACAACCGCTCAATCCAGGACGAGAAGCTCATTGAAACGATCTTCCAAACGCACCACAACCCCGATTCCCGAGTGAGCGCAAGCCCCGTGTACGGCGCAACGGCGACAAACCTCATCATCGATGCGCGGCCTACGACTAACGCTATGGCAAACACGGCTAAAGGCGCAGGCACGGAGAACATGGATCATTACAAGGATGCGAAGAAGGCGTATCTCGGCATTGACCATATCCACACTATGCGCGAATCGCTCAACAAAGTCGTTGAAGCGCTTCGGGCCACGGAGCTCCAGCAGGCGGCAGGCACGACTGTTGTGGAGGGGAGTGAGGACGACCAACCCCTCGTTGTTCCCGTACTGGATCGGCAGGCATTGCGCCGGTCGAATTGGCTGCGCCATATTACTGCGATCTTAGAAGGCACGCTGCTGATCGTCCGCAACGTCCACATTAACTCGTCGCATGTGCTTATCCACTGCTCGGATGGATGGGACCGTACGGCGCAGCTCTCTTCACTTGCTCAGCTCTGCCTGGACCCGTTCTATCGGACGCAGAAGGGCTTCGCGATCCTTGTGGAGAAGGATTGGCTTTCGTTCGGGCACAAGTTCCTCGATCGCTGCGGCCACTTGTCCTCCGAGAAATTCTTCCTTGCGCCTGTCGAGAACGCTGGCTCGGGCGGTGGCGCGGAGGCCGCACAGGCCTTCCTCGCCTCTGTCCAGAACAGGTTCGCATCGCAGCACCACATCAAGGAGACTAGCCCCGTCTTTCACCAATTCCTGGAAAGCGTCCGCCAGGTCCAGCGTCAATTCCCTGAACGATTCGAGTTCAACGAGCGTTTCCTCCGTCAGCTCCACTATCACCTCTACTCATGTCAGTTCGGTACCTTCCTGTGCAACTCGGAGCGTGAACGTCGTGTAGGAGAAGGTGGTCAGCCACCGGTGATCAACCGGACCAGCAGCGTCTGGGACTATTTCTTCTCACCGTCGGAAATCGAGCTCAACAAGAATCCGCTCTACGATCCGAGTTTGGACGACCCTGCCAACAGAGCGCCGAAGGCCGATATGGGAGTACTCATACCGAATCCCAGGGATGTACGCTTCTGGCACGAACTGTACGGACGCACAGACGAGGAGATGAACGGGAGGTTTGTGGTCAAGCAGGTTGTCGAGGATCCGGAGTTTGTGGCCCCGATCGAGTCGGCCGGTGAAGATCCTGCGTTGTCACAGTCTCAGGGATCCGTCACTACATCTGCGCCTACCCCTCCCCCACAGTCCACAAGTTCGCCGCAAATCAGCATCCCGACACCGCAATCGATAGCGCGTCTCCTCCAGAGGGGTAACTCTACATTGCCTGGAACTGATTCACCTTCCTCGTCCACGCCCCCCGGGGACTCTCCCTCGTCCTCTCAGACACAACGAATTCGGGGAGAGAGTCTACTGCCACCCTCTTCTCCAGGAGCCTCTTCGTCTTCGATCGCTCTCGGACCTCCCCGCACTCCTTCTCCCAGCTTACGCGCCGGGCGCTCTTCACCTCGCCCTGGCCTGCCTTCCACAGTAAATGGTGGCGACTTGTTCTCTTCCGGAGGTGTGCGATCGTTCTGGGGCAAGGTTTCCTCCAATGCTACTGCCGCGTTTTCCGCAGTGCAAGATGCGTACGGAGGCTTAGCCAAGGATCTGAAGGGTATTTCGTTGGCCGGTGATACAAACGACACGGCGCGCGGCGGAGAGCTGAAGTCGCGAGAGGAGATCAACGCCTGGGGCCAGGGTGGAGATGATAGCCGTCCTTCCTCGCCACTCCGTCAGTCAGCAGCGTCTCCCCGTGCCTACACGTACTCGTCGGGAAACACAGTCAACCCGTGGACGACACCTTCGTCGCGGCCGGCTATTCCGTCTATGTACATGGACAACCCATGGGGCTCAGTGCGTGCCCCAGACCGCGAGGCACGCCCATCAGCATCTTTCGCGTCTCAGGAGACACGACAGGAGACGAGCCCGCTCCCAGTGGACCCAACGATCGACCTGCCTATCGCCTTCCCACACTCACGTAGCAATACAGTGACGCAGACGCAATCTACACTGGACGGCGGCCGGGCGGCACTATTTCACGCAACTATAGATAACCCGCCAGCAGAGACAGGCTCAGGTGCGAACGCGGATGCGGAGAGGCGAAGTGACCCATCAGCACATGCCCCCTCCTCTTCCTTGCCGGCACAACCAGCAGATGCTTCAACAGCTTCGTCGGATCCCTTGGGGGTTGCGGTGTGGTCATAGTCTGGGCGCGCGGGAATAAGGGTGTGAGATTCGGTAGATAGCATGGGGGTATCATGATAGTATTCTAGAGTGCGACGTGCAACGCAATGGTTATAGGATGTTCGCCTCAGTCGTACGATAGAAGGCACGCTAAGGCAGCCGGTGTATGTAAAAATCCATGTGCGGGCTTGGTGCGTGCTTGCGTGTAGAAACGTGAATGGGCGGGCGCGAAAAGGCACGATAGATGGCGTGCTATGCGGTGGCCGGGGTCCTTAAGGGTTCAAATTTATAGCAATCGTACTATGAGCCGGCTGGCCTTGAACGCACGTCTCTTTCCTCCTTCCTGCTCCCCCATCCCGCTCTTCGTCGCTGTCTCCAGTCATGCCTGCCAACGGTTCTGTCCACACCGCCCTCACGCCCGGCCACTTCCTCTTCACCTCCGAGTCCGTTGGTGAAGGGCACCCTGGTGAGTTCAAACGCTTTGGCCCGGCGTTCTCGTACCGACGCTCGCAATCCTTATCACAGACAAGATTTGCGACCAGGTCTCCGATGCTATCCTTGACGCCTGCCTTGCCGTGGACCCCTTCTCCAAGGTCGCCTGTGAGACCGCGTCGAAGACGGGTATGATCATGGTCTTCGGTGAGATCACCACCAAGGCTGTGATCGACTACCAAAAGGTCATCCGTGACACGATTAAGAAAATCGGCTACGACGACTCGTCCAAGGGTTTCGATTACAAGACCTGCAACATCCTGGTTGCCATTGAGCAGCAGTCGCCCGATATTGCCCAGGGCCTTGACCACGGCTCGCTCGAGAATATCGGTGCCGGTGACCAGGGTATCATGTTCGGCTACGCGACGGACGAGACCCCCGAGTACATGCCCCTCACCATCGTCCTCGCGCACAAACTTAACGCCGCGTTGGCTGCTGCCCGCCGCTCCGGCGAGCTCGGCTGGCTCCGCCCTGACTCAAAGACGCAGGTGACGGTCGAGTACAAGAAGGATGGCGGGGCCACGATCCCCCTCCGTGTTGACACAGTTGTTGTCTCCACCCAGCACGCGGAGGAGATCAGCACCGAGGAGCTTCGCAAGGAGATCCTCGAGAAGATCATCAAGAAGACCATCCCCGCGTCCCTCCTTGATGATCGCACCATCTACCACATCCAACCTTCGGGCCGCTTCGTCATCGGTGGTCCCCAGGGCGATGCTGGTCTTACTGGCCGCAAGATCATTGTCGACACTTACGGTGGTTGGGGAGCACACGGTGGAGGTGCGTTCTCCGGCAAGGACTGGTCCAAGGTCGACCGTTCTGCTGCCTACACCGCCCGCTGGATCGCCAAGTCGCTCGTTGCAGCTGGCCTTGCGCGCCGTGCCCTTGTCCAGCTCTCGTACGCCATCGGCGTCGCCGAGCCCCTCTCGGTCTACGTCGACACCTACGGCACAGGCAAGAAGTCGGACGAGGAGCTCGTCGAGGTCATCCGCAGGAACTTCGACCTCCGCCCTGGTCTCATCGTCCAGACCCTTGGTCTCCAGAAGCCCCAGTACCTCAAGACTGCGTCGTACGGCCATTTCGGCAACCCCGAGTACTCCTGGGAGCAGCCCAAGAAGCTCGAGCTCTGAGCTCTAAGCTCTGAGCTGTTGTCCGCATCTCCTTGTGCCATCGCGTCGGCGTCGATCCTTGGGTTTCTTGTCGTCACTGTCGTCGTTGCTGTATTGATAGACCATCGCCACACATCGCATCGGAAGTTCATCCTTCCGCTATTTATCCCCGCACTACGCTGTTTACAACTATACCACACATGGACCTGCGCACGCCCTCTTCACTCCGTCCCGAAACTCCCTCACCGGCTGCCCCACCGGTCACACGCATCCAACTGCTTCGTCGCATACTCACCGTCCAACCGTCCGCGACCACTTACGATCATACGATCTCATGACCCCTGCTATCTACGCACACATACCTCGCTATCCCGCACTAGTCACGTTCGGCCCTGCGCAGGCCTGCCACACGCATACATCGTTGCCGTACATTAGTATTGAGTTACCACTTGTAGTACTGGATAGAAAACAAAATACGACCCGCGTTCAACCGCGGGCAATCCCCTGCGTGCATTTGCACTGCGGAGGGTACCAAACGTGCTTGGGTGTGTCTTGTGCAGCGCGAAAAGATAAATACGTGTAGTAGCCCTGTGACTACGCGTCACACATCACACAGTGATGTCACTCCTTCAGCCGGACTTTGTGGCGGTAAGCAATTCAACTTGTAGCTTGACTATTCCACCCACCCGCGCCGGCTGTAGGAACGCTGTCTGAGGCGTTGAGACAACATCAGTGTTGCTAAGAATCTATCTTTTGATCACCACAGGTCTGAGATAACTCGTGAGGCCAGAAGTCCCGGAGACTGTCTCGGTTCAGTTCTCCAACAAATTTGTGTTGCCTGGAACAGTTGTAGCGGCTTGCTGCAGCCTGACGAGGGCATAGAGGACGTATGATGACGATGGACACTAGTGAGAACGTTAGCGTTCACACTCGTCAGTGGACTCTTCAGCCCGAGTCTGAGTACAGGTTTGAGCTTGATCCCAATACCACGCTTGCAATCAAGGTATGTCCCTCACGGTGGGCCTATCTCACAGTGGTCGCAGTATATTGCACATATCCAAGCCTGAACATTTGCTCTATAGCTCGTCAGCGGCCATGCGGAGATATTTGGCGCAGAACTCGCAGAGGGCAAGGCATATATATTCGGCCAGGAATGCAAGGCGGCCGTGTTCACCTGGCAAGGATGCACCATAGAGATGAGTACCCGTACCGTCATGTCCTGTTTGCACCCGCGCCTCTCTATATATGCGCGTGTCCTTACCTGCTCTTTGCGACTTAGCACGTCACAGGCCATCCTTCAGTCGAATACCTCTCTGATGAGACGCCCATGTCCATTTACGCCAACGTCCACCTCGCGCTCGAGCAGATGCGCGTGCGCGCGCTAGCCGCCGTGGATGGGTCGCCTATTCCTGAGGACGAAGGTGACGACGCGATTGGTATAGATCCGCCGCGCGTGCTGGTCCTCGGCCCAGAGAACTCGGGGAAGACGAGTGTATGCAAGATCCTCACCAACTATGCCGTGCGCGCAGGACAAGACTGGGTGCCCATCTATGTCAATGTCGACCCCAGTGAGGCACGTGTCATCCTCCGCAATAGTGTCCAAGTGAAACTGACATTTTCGTTTCCCGTATCCTCATGTAGGGTGGCTGGGCTGTTCCTGGAGCAGTCTCTGCGGCACCCATCACCGCCCCCATACAGACTTCGACACCTGCTGCCACCCTTGGCTCTGCGGCGACCTCCGCTCCGAATCATGTGTCGTCGAATGCTCTTCTCCCTCTCTCGTACTGGTATGGACATGCAGAAATGCGGCGAAATCCACTCCTCATGGACCGGCTCATCCGGAACCTTGGAGAGAACATCCGAGACAGGTACGAGAACGACGCAGAAGGTCAGTAGCCTGATCTTTGGGGTTGGAAGCAGGGGTGGTTGACCGTTGTACGTCGCTAGGTCGATGTGCAGGCTTGATTGTGGACACGCCGTCATCTTTCGCTGCAAGCTCTAGCTCTAGCAACGACCACCGACTGACTATGATCAAGGCATGCGTGGATGCATTCCAGAGTGAGTGGCCTGATGACCTTGAAGGTTCCATGTGCTGATGCGCTCGTTTCAGTCAATGTGATCCTCGTCGTGGGACATGAAAAGCTGAACGTAGAGATGCAAAGGACATATGGTAACCGTATGGTCGTCCTCAAGATTGCGAAGTCGGGTGGGGTACGTCCCTCGTCCCCTGTTTATGCCGACCAGCTATACTGACGGATCCTATTTTCAACAGGTTGTGGAATTGGACGCCGCATACAGGGAACGCGTCCATAAGTATCAGCTCCACACCTACTTTTACGGGCATGTCATGCAACCGCCTCCAGGGCTGCCATCAAAGGCCTACGTGCAAGGGGGCGAACAGACACCAGACCAAACGATGCACCTCTCTCCGTTGTCGGCATCTGTCAATTTCGGTGACATCGTTATCTATCGGATTGGTGAAGGTGAGCGTCTTGGATCATGGCCATGAGTCAACTGACCGACACTGAATATGCACACTCGCAGAAACGATGGCCCCATCATCTGCCCTCCCGATTGGGGCTGCTCGTGTCGTCTCGGAGATGCAACCGCTCGTGGTGGAGCCCGCGATCGGTGGGTCTGGTCTCTATAACGCCATTCTAGCCATACTGGCTCCGCCAAATCCGGACGAGTCCGAACGGTACGACGAGGAAATTCTCGACTTGCCCGCGGTTGGCTTCGTCGCTATGTACGTTTTCCTGCCTGCTCCAAGTGTGTTGAGGGGCCCTAACGACACACTGTTATGCAGAACCGCCTTGGACATTCCTAATAGGCGCATGACGGTCCTGTCGCCTAGTCCTGGCTCTTTGATCGGGAGGACGGCGATAGTGGGTTCATTCGAGTGGCAAGAGTAAGCTGTGAAGTATACGATTATGGTATATATACACTTTCTATGAGAACTCGGACATGAAAGAAACCTGCTGTGCATGTCGTGAGTAAGCCTCTGACCTCCCCACTTTCTACCAAGCAACAAGTCAAGTTTCTTCTTCGCGAACAAGTGATGTATATGACGAGGAAAAGCAGGCAAAGGCGGCACAGTCTTCCGCGGTGTAAACGATGCTCATTATACCGCAAGAGCCAACGTGCGGCGGCGGCCAGAGTAGTCTTGTGAGGGTTGATCAGGCACATGCAGTAAACAGGGACTCAAGCATCATTTGTTCTTCGCATCAGCAATCGATGAACACAGCTCTCGTTGACGAACCGGCTCGTTTTGTGAGGATGGTGACGTACATGACCTGGAAACACAACACAGCCACAACGTTTACCCTCTAGGTGGATGTCTCGCTCTGTGCCGTCTCGCCACCGAAAAGTTTGTTTTCCGAGCACCCCCTCGCCGGTCTTCGAGCGTATCGGATCCCCATGAAAGACGATCTCTGATGTTGTGTGCTCGGTGAGCCATCGTCCCGTAGGTTCTTCGACTACCTGTGCTGCGGCGCCGTCTTGGTCGGTCTCCAAGCGTTAGCTTCCTTGCCTTCCCACGAGCCCGAGAGGGATTTTGACTCATCGGTGCAATATAACACCAAGCGGTGCGTTCCAGCATGCCCCTGTCATTGTCGAACTCCAGCTTTACCAATTACGCTTGCGGCAGAACACCATGCCATGCAATCTGACATTGCTCGGGTTGAATGTCGATGTCTTGGCCATCATCATATCCTATCTACCGCCCCGCGACGCTGTAGCGCTCTCTTGCACATGCAAAGCGGCACACGCAATCTCCATCGATCCCGCACTCCATACCGTTATCCTCGACCATACGACGGAACAAATACAGAAATTCCGTGACCATCTCCTCGCAGTCGAGTCTCGTCCACACGTGCTGAAGTCCTTGACTTTAACAAAAGCCGTAACATGGGAGATCGACCCGCACGCGAGCGGACCTGCTGGCGCACTTGCCGATATTGTCGAGCAGGCCAAGGATTTGCAGTTTTTCAGCTGTGGGAACATGGACGACATGATTGTTGCGTCGAACATGCGTTTGGTCAGCGCGCTGACATCTCGCACAAGCATGAGAGCTCTTCAGCTGCAGTACGGCGGGCAACACACGGTGAAGATCATTACGGAGGTCGAGTCTCCGTACGTCCGGGAGTTGATTGTGGATCTCACCTTCGTTTCCAAGATGCCTTGGAACAATCTCTTCGCTCCCCTCACTCGATACCAACATCTCACAACGCTTTCCATTTCCAAGCTCACGAACCGCCTCCTCTTCCCTTTCCCTGTCGCGCAGAGCCCTCAATTTGCTGCAGGTCCAATTTTACCGTCACTCGCTACAAATATTCAGCACTTGACCCCAGAGACAACGCCGATCATACCTTCCGTGCGCACGCTATCGTTTTTCTCCACGTTTATTCCCATGGCACTCGCCGCGACGATGTTCCCAAACGTGGAGAACCTCACGTTCCGCACCGATCGCCTCTTCCGCTCGTTCTACATCGCAGAACAAGCTGTTCGGCAGGAGTTCCCGTCATTATCTGCCTGCTGGCACCACACGCTCGCCGAGGCGCACATCGATGTCGCCGACTGCAGAATCTGGCCTCTCACCTGCCGCGTGCGGTGGCTCGATTTCAACTTCCTCCCGGGAGGATGGGCCGAAGAAGCGTTGGACGCGGTCACCCGGACGAAGCCGCACGTTATCTCCGTCGCGTACCGAACAGACCCCGACAACACCTTCTGGCTGCGCCTGCCCATGATCGCGAGCGAGCTGCGCTTCATGGACACCCGGATACTCGAGCTATCCGGCCATCGTAGAGTAAGTGCACAACTACGTCCTTCTCCGCATCTCGAGGCTCATGGATGCTGTCTCCACAGAGATACGTCCTTATGCACCTGTCCCGCTTTCCTGCCTTAGCTGCTATCTTCCTCTGCGTGCGGGCCCACTACCAAGCGGAAGACTACGACGCCGAGGTGGAGATCATAGCCAGGGAGCTCGCCGAACGCAACCGCAAGCTGCAATACATCGGCATCTCGTTCACGGACGGCCGCTTCATGCGATACGACGACCCCGTCTGGAACGAGGAGCGCCTTGGGTCACGCTGGTGGAAGGTCCACAGGGACGAAGGGCATTATCTCGGTGAGGGAACGAGTGTCAAGGTTATACCCACTGAGGTTGGACTGAAGATCAGGGAATACATGTACGAGGCGGACTACGACTCGCCGGTTTGGGAGGAGCGCCTTTCCACGTTTGTTTGAACGCGCACGCTTGCACGCTGTTGTATGCTTTGTGAACCGCTGTCCTGTAGCATTGATGTAACCCGTTAGAAATCTCACATGTACACCTGACCAACTCGCACTTCAAACGCCACGTCCTCTCATCGTATCCGACATGGTCATACAGTGAACATGGGTAATGTATTGCTGGGGTTGGCTAAGATACAATGATGATCGATGGGTTTAATTGAGCTTAATTGCAGTTGGTAGACGTAGACGAGTTCGAGGAAGAATGAGGCACGAACAAGACGTGGCGGAGAGATGAAAGCGAAACCACAAAGTGATAATGCTATACAAAAATGAGAACTTGGCCACAGCTGGCGACACCCAACAAAACTCCGTTACAAAGCGACAGCGGCAACATTGACAACCCCTCGCCCGCCCGCTCGACATCAGTATTGACACCGATCAGAAGCATGACAAGCACAAGTGGTAAACGAGCAGGGCGGGCGTCGAAATAAGGCATAGTGGAGAGTCATATCATAGTCCCAGTGCGTGCAATAGGTGCGGGGCCGGCGAATGCATGATAGTAGTTGGGATGTGAGTACGATACTTAATGCTTGAGCTTGATCTGTAACCAACAGCGATGAATGACGATAGGCGGGCTTGCCAAGCTTTTGTGTGGCGTGCGTAGGGGCTACCGGCACGAGGACTTGATGCGCTCGACCTCCTGGACGACTTCGGACATCGTGGGGCGGTCTGCGGGATCTTGCGCCCACATATGCTCGATCAGGTCGACGATCTCCGGGCACCACTGCTTGCGCAGTCCGGCTACAGATGGTCTAGGTAGTACGAGACGCGATAAGCCCGATGTGCGATACCCAACTCTGCAGCGACGTACCTCTGCTTCTTAGCGCCGACAGCGTCGTAGATCGCATGCTCGTTCATGCCCTCCCAAGGAAACTTCTTGTCTTTGACATGCCACTGCAGGATCTCCCAGTAGACCATTGCACATGAAAAGACATCGACCTTGTGATTGTACTTCGGCGCAGGGTGCCAGAGCTCCGGCGCTTGCCAGTTGACGGTACCGACGAGACTGCGGACCATTGAGCGCGTGGATTGTTTGACTTTCGCGAGGCCGAAGTCGGTGATTTTGGCGACGCCTTTAGACGTGATAAGAATATTTGATGACTTGCAGTCGCGGTGGATGATGGACGGCTTGCGGAGATGGAGGTACTCTAAGCCTTTCGCGATATCGAGCATGATACAGAGCTATGCAAGATATGAGCAGTGAAACTATAGCGAGATGCGATTTGGATACGCACCACACGGTACAGGGAAGGGGGGTTGACATTGCGGATGTAATCGAAGAGGTCACCATTTGAGCACAGCTCGCTGACGATCATAACCGGCGTCTCGCGTGTGTTCTCGGGGATGCTCACGCCAAGCTGTAGTAACTCAGCGATAGAAGCATGAAGGCACGTCATAAACACGTACGAAGCGGACGATGTTGGGATGATCGAAGTCTCCTAGCAACTTGAGCTCCTTGATATCCACTGCAGCACACACATCAAACGTCAGCGCCGTCCAACCAGCCTCAGGAAATGGACCCAAACGCACTCTGACTCAATTGCCCACGGAACTCCGCAATGGCGACCCGCCGACCCTTGAACTTGCCAATGAACACATCCTTGAAGCCGCCACTGCCGATCTTCTCGAGCTTCGTAAGTTTCTCAGGGGGGATCTCGCGATCCTCCAACCCGAGGCTCTCCAGGTCCAGCTCAATGTCGCCCTCGCCGTCCCTCTCTCTCGCCCTGGTAGAGAGCGGTGGCGTCCGAGGCTCGTCCATGTGCACATGCGAGCGAAGGAGCACGGGAGGTATAGGGCTGCCCGACCCGGACTTCGAGCGCGTCTTGCGACGCCGCGGGGCACGGGCGGTCGAGGGGGGACGTGCTGTGCCAGTGGACGACGGTGCAGATGTGGTGGCCTCGCTACAGTGCTTATCTCGCCACTGGAGGAGTGCCTCAGCGAGCTGGGGCTTCGTCCCTGTGGCATCGATGTCGCGGGTCTCGCATAACCGGACAAGGTCGTCCCTGCGTAAGCGCACAAGAGTCTTCGCGGTAGCGACAGTGAGATCGACTAGAGGACGGGAAGTCAGAATGGGTTTCGACCGTGAGCGAAACGACGCACCGTCATCATCATCCATCGTTTCATCCTCCTCGCCCTCCGCATCCTCATCCTCATCACCAAGCGTTGACGCGACAGACTCGCTATCATCCACTTCTTCCTCCGCCTCCTCCTCTTCTTCCTCGTCCTCATCGTCTTCCTCACCGATGTCCTCCTCGACATCTTCCTCAGCGACGATCTTCCCATTCCGTAACCGCCGTCCCGATTCTGCTTGCTCCGTCTCTTCCCCACTTCCCTCATCATCACCCTCCTCACCCGCCACAACCGTTCCCTCCTCCTCACTATCCTCGTCGTCTCCATCGCTCGGCGGCGTATGCGTCTGCAAGTGCCGCGCCCGGAGCCGATTCCTTACAGGCGTCCGCCGGCCGAATGGAGCCGTCTTGACTGCTCTCGGCGTGGCGTTGGGCGATATCGGCTCCTGCAACTCATCGACCTCCTCCTCCTCCTGGTCATCCTCCTGAGCATCAGACGCGAGTTCGTCCTCGTCCGCCTCAACCTCCAGCTCCTCGTCCGTGCTCTCATACAGACTCCCGACTTTGCCCTTCGCTTTCCGCATCGGAGTCACCCTCCGGTTGTCCGGCGACTCCTCGGGCCGCGACCTGTCGTTCGTCAATCGGCTCACGGAGCCTTTGCTCCGTAGACGCCGCGGGCTGGGCCTGAGCTTGTTGATCGAGTCCTCAACTTCGGTCAAGTCGGTTAGGTCACTCTCGTCCTCTGCCTCTGGGGGCGAAGGTAGCCGCGTAACTTCGACCTCGTCGCTGAAGCCGACATGCTTTGCCTTAGACTTGCCCTTGCTTGTGCCTGACGAACTCGGGCTCGCATGGATCTCGCCTGACGCCTTGCGCGAGCGGAGGCGCGTGGCAGGCGGAGATGGAAGCACCGAAGACATCCTCGATGACGTCGGCGATGATCGACTGGAGCTCGCATTGCTGTTTCCACGCCTGCAGGACACGAAAAAGACAGGGCAAGACATGGGTATCGCGAGCGTACACAGCAAGAGAACAAGCGGACTGACCTCCTGGTGGAGACGCCTGTGGCAGGCTGTGTGGCGACAGTATCGAGCGGCCCACGTTTGCGCTTCCCATGTGTTGGGGAGAGCTCCGCGGACGATCGCTCAATGTGGCTCATAGACAGGCTCCGGTCAGCGGGGTATCTGCGCGTGGCACGACTGAGGTCATGCACGGTTGCCCTCCTGCGAAGCCCATTGCGGAGGCGTGTCCCGAAATCCGTCTCTTCCCCGCCGGCAACGTTACCGCCGTCAGAAGAATAGTCACTCGAGCCACTGTCTGCAACACCGGGGGATGAGGGCGGGAGGTCAGCCACATCGTCACGGGCGGCTATGATGCAGTCGACGATCTCAGGCTTGGTGAGAAGCTCGGCGTCGTCCGTGAGACCAGCCGCTGCGTAGAGTTGTACAAGCTCATCCTTGCGGAGTCGCAGCAGACGGCGTGGCGGCGCCTCGTTGATGAGATAGTTATCGGCTGAGGTGCAGGGTGAGCAATGCGCAGGGGACAGAAGAAATGAAGCACGCGTACAGGAGTCCAGAGCTTCTTCATCATCGTCAGAATTATCCGAACCGTCCCATATCTCCTGCTGTTCCTCATCCACATCCATTCCACTCACGGGCTCCTCGTCGCTCGAATCGGGAAGAGCCTTGCGCCGCTTGGCGCGGCTCGTGGAACGAGCGCCTCTTGCATTAGACGTGTTCTCGCTGCCGCTCACGACGCGTTTGCGCTTCATGCCGATGGAGACATCATAAGCATTTGCGGCATCGCGCATATCGTGCTTGCGTTCCGAGAGGATACGTGAAGGAAGACGACGGAGGTTGAAGTGGACGGGGACGAGGACTTGGCGGGGAGAGAGTGGGGGAGAACTGCCCGACGCGCGAGAAGAAGGCTGGGAGTCGATGTAGGCGTTGGTGTTGAAGCCGAAGACGCGTCGTCGAGCAGCAGTAGCGCGTCTTGCCTGGAGTTTGCGTCGGCTGAGGATGGCAGAGTCTTGGAGGGAAGCTGAGCGATGCCCGGTGCGTCTTTGGGCCATGCCAGAGGTGCGGTGCAAGTATCGGCCCTTCCGGCGTCGCCAGAGGATAGGTTGAGGGTGAAAAATGGGTACAGGGGTCGATGTCGTTGTCGCCGTCGTCGGTGGTCGTCGTTGTCCTCACCGTCGGGGTGTTTGGCTCCGTTTGGCGAATATGTTCGGGAGCCAAGCAGGGTCAAATAGCAGCCACCCTCACGTGAAGTGCACGTGAGCCGGGCCGACGCGACACAGGTCACGCGTGTTCAACTTTCTCGAGGCAGGAAGCGCGGCTCGGATCAGCTCAGCTCAGCCAAAGCCAAAAGCAAAGCCTGAGCCAAGGCCCCGCCAACAGCGTTCAACTCGCGTCTCCTCCCCGTCCGCACCTCTCTCCACAACGCCCACCATGCCCCCCAGACGTGCACGCGCAGCGAGCACAGCTGCCCCACCAGAGACCCGACCGCGCGCTGCAAAACGCGCTGCATCGCCCGACGCAGACAAGGCTCCCGTCGCCAAGCGCGTCCTTCGCGCTGCACCCACCAACGCCGAGAAGCCCACACCCAAGGCCGTACCCAACGGCAAGGTCGCCAGCAAGGCCTCCGCCCCCAAGGCAAAGGCCCCCGCCTCAGAGAAGCCTAGGGTCAAGGCGGCCGAGAAGGGCAAGGCCCCTGCCGCTCCTCGCGTCCGCAAAGTCCCTCAAGCCATCAACCCCGTCCCGAGAAAACCACAGCACTTCCGCCCTCCCCTCCACCTCTTCACGTGGGGATCCGGGGAGATGAGCCAGCTCGGTATGGACTACAACCAGGAGATCAACAAGCCTCGCAAGAACGCGTTCGTCGCCAGCCACATCGAGGAGGGCACGTTCGGCGACGACGAGGCCGGCCTGGAGTCCATCGCTGCCGGTGGCCTCCACACGCTGTTTACGGATGAGAAGGGCACGGTACGTAAGCTCGCGCGTTCTCACGGCAGTCATCGACTGAACCCGTTGCGCGTGCTCCAGATCTGGTCCTGCGGGACGAACGACAACGGTGCCCTCGGTCGCGTCACCGTCATGATCCCCGACCCAAAGGACGACCGGGCAGCCATTGAGGTCGACGAGAAGACCAAGGACCCTGTCTGGAAGCCCGTGCCAATACACAGCCTCGTTGAGGAGGACTTCCGCGCGGTCAAGATCGTCGCCGGCGACAGTTTCTCCGCCGCAATTAGCGACAAGGGCGAGCTCCGCGCCTGGGGCGCCTTCTCGGTACGCATACATCCCCCTTCTCTGCCTTGCACGTTCCCCCATTGACTGTTATGCCGTAATCTTTGCAGGGCAACCAAGGTCTCGTCGGCTTCTCCAGCCACTCCAAAAAGCAATACAAGCCCGTCCCCGTGCTCGACCTCAAGGACGACAAGTGGGTCTCTGCCGCAGCAGGCAACAACCACCTGATCCTCCTCACCACCCAGGGCAACATCTACACGCTCGGCACTGGCGAAGAAGGCCAGCTCGGCCGCCGCGTCATCGAGCGCCGCAAGATCTCTGGGACTGCCCCTGAGAAGATCGTCCTGGGCACGCGTACCCGCAAGGCCGTCGTCGTGGGCGCAGGGAACAACCATTCGTTCGCCGTCGACGAGGACGGCAACACCTGGGGCTGGGGCGTCAACTCCAAGGGCCAGACCGGCACCGGGCTCGCCGACGCGGGCATCGACCGCGAGGTGCATGCCCCGAAACGTGTCATCGGCCTCGGTAAGGACGAGCTCGGGGGCGCGACGGTCGTTCAGATTGCCGGGGGAGATTTGCACACGCTCTTCCTCACGTCCGACGGGCGGGTGTACGCGTGCGGGCTCTCGGCGGAGGGCCGGCTGGGGCTGGCAGACGACGACGAGGCGTTCAAGGACAGGAAGTACGACGACTGCCTGCCCGAGCCTGCGCGTGTCACCTTCCCGGACGCGTCCGATCCGATCGTGCACATCGCGTGCGGGACGAACAACAACCTTGCGGTTACCAAGGGCGGTGCACTGTACTCGTGGGGCCGGCAGGTCGTCGGGGAGCTCGGGTTGGGCGATGGCGACCTGGACGAGCAGAAGACGCCTGCGGTCGTCGTCCGCAAGGAGGGTGGCTCCTGGACCGCGGTCGACGCGGCGTGTGGAGGCCAGCATTGTCTTGCACTGCTCCGCAACAAGTCGTCTCCCCCTGTGCCTGTCGATGAGCCATCTGTACCGGAAGGTGGCGAAGAGGAGAAATCATAGTCTCCCCTTCGAACTGCCGCGATACCTCTGGCCTCCCCCATCGTTGTATCTATTCCCACCAGCTGAGCTCACCACACTCGTCCCATGCCAAGCTGCACTGCATATCTTCCGTCTCTATGTGCACATACATAAGTGGCTCTTTAGGACTTACGCTCGTAGCACTCGAACGTTCGCACGCATGAAAGCATATCCAGAGCACCAGATCTTTCTATCGTACATCTACACTCCATCGAGATCCCCTATCCATAGTTATTATCCTTGTTCTCTCCTAGATCTCGTCCAATATCCAAGTCGCTGCTGTAATACACCACTCGAATGGCGCTCCTTAACCGGAATGTATCTAGAGCTTGGCCACTATCTTGCGGAGCTCTACCTTCTGTATCTTCCCCGTCGACGTTTTCTGTCCCATCGTCATGTCACCACTCGGACGACTTCCTCCAGAACAATGATACTCACAGGTAGCTCTGGCACGATGGAGACCCACTCGGGGCACGCGAAGCCAGGGAGGCGCTTTCGCGCGTGCTCCTTGAGGTCCTTCTCGAACTCGGAGTGGCGCCCAGCCCACTTTTCCGCCTTCTGCGGGTGGAGGATGACGAACGCCATCGGACGCTCGCCCCACTTCGGGTGCGAGCGCGCAACGACGGAGACTTCGAGGACGTCGGGATGCGTCGAGAGCTCTGCAAAGACATGTTAATCAGAGGCAGGGCGCATGGTGCGGTGAGTTGTGCGTACCTTGCTCGATGGCTAGACTGGACGCGTTCTGCGCTCATCTCGTCATCAGCACCGAGCACTCAACTCAGAAGGTTTGCTTACCTCGCCGCCAGAAATGATTATATCCTTGCTCCGGTCCATGATCGCGATGTATCCGTCTGGATGCCACACCGCCAAGTCCCCCGAGTTGAAGTACCCGCCTCTGAACGCCTTGCGCGTCGCCTCGGGGTCCTTGAAGTACTCCTTCATGACGATGTTTCCCCGGAAGACGATCTCACCCATCGTCTGGCCGTCCTTCGGCACGTCTACGAGAGGTGCGTCCAAACTCTCGCCCTCCTTCAGGGGGAAAACGACGCGGACTTCTTCGGCCGTGGCAAAGGCGTGGCCTTGGCGCGCAAGCAGGCGGGCGCGTTCGTCGAGCGCACGGGAGGTCCAGTCTGGCTGGTAGTAGCAGACCGTCGATGGGCCATAGGTCTATTGGTAGAAATCCAGTCAAATTCGGGAAACCCTGCATCGGAGAACTGTTCTAGTATGTCATAACGTACCTCACTGCCGTTGGGACCGCGATCAGCGGGTTGCGAAACATGTCGAATGCGAGGTCAGCGTGCGAGGGCGTGCTGTGACACAACATGAAGACGCACGTCAGGCCGTAGACGTGCACAGGTTTGATGTTCCTCTTCTCGAGCTCGCCGATGAGGTGCGCGGTCGGAGCCGAGCCCGCGATGATAGCAAAGACCGGCTTCTCGAGGCGTCTCGCCATTGGCGCGTTTATGAGACCAATCTGCATGGGGCGATGCATTGCTTTAGCATCCGAATCCCCGAATTCTACCGCCTGAGAAGCAGGCCGCGGGACTCGCAGCCGCGACCGTACGTACCTGTACCGTCGGCGCGCCGCAGTAGTGCGTCACGCCGGAGTTAATGAGGTGGTTCCAGATATGCGGATACGACACGGATCGCAGGCAGATCTACAATGCGTTGGGAGGTGGCGTTACAGCGCGAAGTGAAACATTAGATGAGTTGGTAGGGCTGATGTCCAGTGCGAGGACGTCGAGGATCATACCTGTGCGGCGGAGGCGAAGGTGACCGCCCACGGGAACGTCCACCCACTAGCGTGAAACATAGGTAGTATCCTGAATGACGTAGTTCGTGAGCACCTGTGTGCGCTCGCTTTCAGCAATGCATCGCTCGGACTCACCACAAATATGTAGAGTCGCGATTCATGCTGCCCCCCTAACGTGAGCATCTTAGCGGATGTCGAGTATATGTATACTTGCCCAGTGTCATACGCATTTGCGACAGCAGCGAGATAAGACCCTATCACTACGTCAACAACGAATCGCTCTCGAGAACCGTCGACGTTCTTACCTCTCAGCGTAGTAAGCACGCCCTTCGGCTGCCAAGGATGTGGGTTAACGATCTCTTGACCGTACTTACTGCATCACTTACGCGACCTGTGGTGCCAGAACTAGCGACACAACATGTCAGCGTACCACGACCGGTTTGGTGCGGTGGCGCGACATACGTGTAGTTGAGCGCGCAGCCGGCGTCCTCGTTTCGCTCCCACTCTAGTCCCGCCCACCCGCGTTCATTGCTGAACTTGCGACCAGAGGTCAGGAATTGTTCATATGGATCATCCTCTTTGCCTGTGTCATTGACCACAATGACGGGAGCCTTCGCGCCTTTGACGAGATGTGCGGACTCGTGGTCGACGAAGATGAGCTTCGCGCCCGAATGCTCCAGGATATACGCGACCTCCCCATGCGTGAGGCGCGTGTTGATTGCGCAGATGATCGCGCGTGCGCCAAGGACGCCATGGTACGCCTCTGGAAAGCGCAAAGGGTGAATACAAAGTCATAGTGAAGGACGGTATGGGAAAGCAAGACCAGCTATAGAGGGTCTGCAACCAAATCCGGTCAGGGTCGGCCCGCAATTCAAGTGAAGCTTGAGGAATGGCACTGACATATTAGGTGCAATGAAAGCGATCCTGTCCCCCGGTTGAATACCGGCTTCAAGCAACCCATAGGCGAAGTTCTGGATGCGTTGTGCCCTGATGTGGTCGGTCGGAAAGGGTGCGATTCAGGAGAGGGAAGAGCGTGAACTCACCAAACGGCGTAGGAGTATATTACTGGGTGTCTCACATCGGGATGTACAATGGCAAGCTTAGTGGAATAGATCTGGGCAGAGCGAAGGACGAACGCTAGCGGATTCTGTTGAACATCAAGAAGCACCATCCCGCGCGTGAGAGGAGAGATGGGCTACAACGTGGCAGACAGTTACATACTAAAGCATGTAGGTGAACGGGAGTTCCGCTGGGCAAACGAAGGCGATAGTTGACGCCAGGAGGAGGGATGCTTGCTGAAGTAGGCGTGAAGGACTTGAGTGCCTCTGCATGGCGTATCAACGTCGGTGCACCCATGTCCCTGAATTGAAGATGCTCAGACGCACCGTTGGCCATGTAGAATTCTTCTGCGAGCTGTATATGGGCCATAATCGTCGTCTTCTGGAGCTCTTATACGATTCGTGAGGTGCTGAGAGGCGTGTTCACAGAGTGACCCCGGGATCGGAACGGAAATGCGGGGTAAGGGTTGCGGGGTAATGCAGATGCATCAGCGGGGAACACCGGGCGTCCATACCGGGCCCTAAACTGAGGTTAGGTGCACGGCGGGGTTCCCCATGAGGAAAAGCCGGACAAGTCAGTACCTGGCCCGGGGGTCACGGCGCATATACTCTCATCTGCACCTCACTCGATCCTTCGTACGATTTCAAACGTACCTCGATATTCGTACAGCTGAAAACCGAGAAGGCCATTGGTCATCTTCTGTGAGTGCTCATTTCCCACCGGTTTCCGTGAGGGAACTCGAGCGTGGTCCGTACCACGGAATCATCAAACTCCAAAAACATATACACCCCAACTTCGTGACGACGTATATGCTCTGGACGAGGGGAATACAGGCCGTGTGGCATTTGTATGTCTGCCGCGGGATTGTTGGCCGGTCTTGCAGACTCTACGGGACTTGGAACAGTCAAACAGACAGTTCTTATCTCCGTAAGTCATTGTGTATCCTACAGTCACCGACAAGCTTTATGTGACTGAGATGACAGCTCAACGGGTGAAGCTTGACAGACAAATGTGCGGCAGTCGGGAGACTCGAAGCTTCAGCCTTACAGTTGGGTTAATTGTTTGTCCATTCGGTGCGTGGTGTCAAGGATTCTTCATCTTTCTGGACCATGACGTGTACGGCTTGCTGACTGCCGCCATAGACCTTTTTGCCATCATACCCAGCCAAGTAGTCATCAGAGCGGCAGCTAGTCGTGGTCGGCTAAGAAGACTAACAAATGTGCAGAAATGGCTTCATTGCCGAACTCTTTCGCCCTGCCCAATCGGGACATGACGCCCAACTGCTTCTCAGACCAATCGCGAACCGCGACCGAGGACAATGTGCCCTTCCCTCGTCTGTCGCTCGCAAGCCTACACTTTAGACTTCGCCTCATGTCGCTTTGAGCGAGTCCTATGTGGCACGAAAATCCAGGGACGCAAGTTATATAGGAGGCGAACCCGCGCCCCTCCCTGGCTCTTTACCCACGGACGTAACGGAGATATCTCGTGTGCCGCATTTAGAAGGCAACTCGGGCACGCGGGGCTCAAAGGCGACATCTCTTGTGAACATCCCTTTGTACTTCGCTATCAGTCCCCTTTCACCAAGAATCCCTTCCTCGCCTAACTTGTCGCCCATGTGCGGACACGTGGATTACCAGATCGCGTCTGATGAATGGCACCCACAAGCCTTGGCTTCCCAAAGGTGCATCACGTATATGTAATGGATGCACCTCCCCGGGGCACGATGGGTTTATCTACACGCCCTGTGATCCTCTGCGTCTTGGAGTAAATTTCCCTCTACGTCCCCACTGACTCGACTTGCCTCTGAGTCCTCGATTGCTCTCCTGTCGCAGTCATCGTCATCGCAATTGGCACTGTCCATCCACTACTCGAGATGCTACTGAAGGTGACTTCAGCGAATATTCATGAAACGGCACTAGTCGACTGCGCCACCGGCGCGATTCTATATCGCACCTGCACCTCCCTCTCCGAGCCTCCTGGTCTCCCTGGTCCTTCTCGATCTAGAACGAGCTTAGCTAGCACGTTTTCCCCTGCGAACTCCAATCACTCATACGAGAAGCTGCCAGCATGCGAGCAGAACACGACGGCAGTGCTCGACTGCGATGGGGAGATCGTCGCCGAGATCGTATGGGAGGGCAAGAACGCCACGATCATCCGGATACAGGACGAAGAGTTGCAAGGGACAACCGAACTGTTCGACGCTGCCTTTGCTCGCGTCCTGTGAGTTCGCATCTGTCCACTGATTCGCGTTTGGGGACGTAGCGTCCTGACCGAAGTTGCCCTGGCGCAGCCCCGACGAGACCATTCTTCCAACACGTATGGAATACACATGGAGGATCACGGCCGAGAGTTTGACGGTTCGTGCCACCGTTGCGCTGCACTGCATCATTCTGAAGATCGCCTTGTGTGCACAGCTCCTGGATGACGATGATGAGGTCGTAGGGCGGCTTCATTCGGATTGTTCCTTCATCAAGGGGCGCCCCATACCGGCCCTGCAACCCGGGAAAGGCTCGGACTTTATCGAGCTCGAGAAGCTGCCCTCGGACGAGTTACTGGAGGTCATTGGTATGCCGTTGCTTCCTCGCATTGCGGCGTTAGGACGTACTGACGCATCATGAAGTGACGTACCTGCTCGTCAGCACCTTACGAGAACGCCTGTACTCGATCTCAAAGTACGCGTACGGCCCGCCGCCGGAGCGGAAAAGGCCATTGGCCAACCTCCGCTTACATGCAAGCCGCAGCTTTGCGAATCTACGCGATAGCATGCGACGTACCAAGGCATCGACCACCTCGCAGCTATAGACGATCCACTCCGCTTCCGCATCTGTATACAGCATACACCGGCACGCGTTGTTCTCGCCGAAAATTCACGCCATTCCTCTCGATCACATCCTTATCCACATCTCATCTTCGTTTTCTTCGCTTTCTTTTTCGCCTTCGCTCGTCCACCGTGCTTTCCGTCTGTCGGTCTAACACGCTTTGACTCGCCCGCTCTCATTAAACCGGTACTCGTCCCCTGCGTTCCTGAGCCGACCAGTAACTCGGATCTCGCCATGTACAGTCAAGCATTCATCATATAGCAAGGGACCTGTTCATGTAACTTATATCGTCACGCTATCGATCGCCACCACCAGTGTACCATCATGTACTTGTACTACCGTACCACTACGTAGAATGTTGATCATGAAGTGATCGTTCAAAATGGAAAAAAGGGCCTAAATGAAGAGTGGCTCACCGATGGCCACTGGCCACTTGCCAGTGACCCTGCGTTGTTACTTTGTGCGTGTGTCACTTATAGCACGAATACTTATCCCTTTCAGTGCGGCATAGCCGGCAGCAAGTTGCACGAGTTCCAGGTCAAGGATACTGGCTTCTCGCTTTGTATTGGCGGGCTGTAAGACTGAGATCGCTGGGAAGTGTGGCGCGTTGATTTTGGAAGCGAGTCATGCATATCACTCCTTTCACAAATTGCTTGTGGATTGTAGACGCAAGAGTCGACGGTCGACGCTGTGGGTGTGCACGATGTTGATCGGAGATTATGCAAGCGTCGTGGCGTCTGGTAACACCGCCACGGCTTCGCTCATTTTGCACCTATGTACTTTGCACGCGGCATCCCGTATCGCACAGCGGCCTCAGCTCATGTCGTCACAGTCATACGAAGTGTCTAGGATATGATAGGTCAGGTTTCATCGCACTTACTCAGCAGACGGTAAGCGGTTTACAAGTATAGCTCGAGTCGGTTCATAAAACAAACTTCTCTAGGCTCGTCGGAACGGTGCTCTCCCAGGCACGAGGCCAAAGTCCGGAGCGGTTGCTGTAGCAAATGCTCTCGAACGGCGCCTGCAAGCAGTGCACGCCGCATCGCACTTGGCGGAGTCAATCAACTTTTGCACGTCTGCATCAGGCAGAGCGACCTCCGCGACGAGCCTCCCACAGCACCGCCGCTGCCCACGTCCACCTGTGACCGCTTGCTGTCCCTCTGAAGATCTCTCTTGAAACGCGGAGATTATCCTTCTGGTCGTATACGCACGTTCATGGCCGTCCCGTCATCTCCGATGCCGAAGACAAGCTGTCCTCAGGGCGCGAGCACCGGAGCGGGGGCGCTTGCACGCACCCAGTCACAGTCGCCTCCGCGGCGCACTCGCGGAAAGCACCCGCGGCAGGATGGCAGCTGCTGGATGACTCGGTGCCATCCGTGCATTGTTGGCGTCCTCGCGTTTCGCCGGATCATCGCCTCCGAGCTCGAGGCGTGTACGTATTTGGACGCCGAACATATCGCAGTCCGCATATTGCACCTACGCGCTGCCCTCACGACTGCTATATAATGCTATCCCGTCGGGACAGCCTGTCAGCCACACTCGGTTTCCTCACAAACCTGACCAGCCCCGACTCAAAGTGACTCGGCCGAACTATCCACACACCGCAACACGCAGCAGCAGGACATAAAAGTCAAGTTACAGTCGTCGGTCTCGTACAACCCTCTCATACTATCTCGCACTATGACTGTCGTCTCGATCACTGCCATGTCGACTCCTGTCGACCTTACCCACCACCTCTCTACAGAGGCGCGCCTGCGGAAACCAAATCCTATGAAGGAGATTTGGAAGCTCACGCGTCGCAGGCCTAATATGGTATCTCTCGCCAACGGTGAGTTTGACTCGAGTACGGCAGTACGCGGATACGGCACGATGCTCATGCTATCTTAGGCGACCCGCACTTCTCGCTGTACCCGATCCGCAGTATCGAGTACGAGATGGCCTCAGTTGCTGTAAAGGACCCTGTCGCGTCATGGCGGGCAGGTCCCAGCGCTCCCTCGCACACGATGAAGTCGTCCGCGCATGAGCCGTGTGCGCTCCCGATCCAGGCGGGCATGCAGTACTCTCACGGCACAGGTCTTCCCGACGCGCAGCGCGTCGTGACCGAGCTCACACAGGTCTACCACGCGCCGGCGGACCACCTCTGCACGCTCGCGCTCGGCAACTCGGACGGGATCACCAAATGCTTCCGGATACTCGGCGAGCCCGGAGACACCTTCATCGCGGACGAGTTCACTTTCAGCTCGGTGACGAACGTCCCCCTCGCCCAGGGCATCAAGTGGGCCGGCATCAAGATGGACGAGGGCGGCATGATCCCCTCTGAGCTCGAGCGCACCCTCGCGACCTGGCACCCCTCGCGTGGCCGTCGTCCGCACGTCATGTACCTCATCCCTTGCGGACAGAACCCCACCGGGTCCACCTTGAGCCTGGAGCGGCGCAAGCAGATCTACGCGATCGCCCAGCGGTACGACCTGATCATCATCGAGGACGACCCGTACTACTTCCTGCAGTACGACGCGCCCTCGCGCGCGACGACCTCGCCCGACACGCCCTTCGTGCGCTCGTTCCTCTCGCTCGACACCGACGGGCGCGTGATGCGCATCGACTCCTTCTCGAAGATCATGGCCCCGGGCATGCGCCTCGGCTGGATCACCTCGAACGCGACGTTCCACGACGCGCTCGTGACGTACACCGACTCGTCGACGATGCACCCGCACGGCTTCGGGCAGATGCTCATCACCGAGATGCTCGCGCAGACCGGCTGGGGCCTCGCGGGCTTCGACAGGTGGGTGCGCTCGCTGCGCGCCGAGTACCACCGGCGCCGCGCGCACTTCCTCGCGCTGTTCGAGAGGGAGGTCGCGCCGACTGGCCTCGCTGGGGCGGAGTGCCCCGAGGCAGGGATGTTCGTGTGGATCCGGGTGCACGTGGAGAAGCACCCGCGGTACAGGGCGGACCGGCGGATGGCGAGCAAGGACGTGGCGGGCCCACGGACGAACGTGAAGGAGCTGATGGAGGAGCTGTTCGAGCGGTGCTTGGACGGCGGGCTCGTCATCATGCCTGCAAGCATATTTGCGTTGTCTGCGGATCCCAAGTTCGACAACATGGAGGACCCGGTTGAAGACGTGAGTACATCCATTTCATCCTGCCAGTGTTTGATCACCGAAACTGAAGGTGAAACGACAGCGCGTCAACTACCTCCGTGCAACCTTCGCGGGTACCGAGGAGGTGATGGAGCAGGGCCTCGCTATCCTTGGGCGGGTGCTCGAGGAGTTCTTCGCTGAGGAGCTAAAAGTAGTTGCCTAAGTCTAATAATCTTGGTCCCCTTCTCTCGATTCGCTTCCCCACGCATCACTCTTGTACACTTTCAAGCATGGACTCTATCATTATTACACGCAAGCGCGCATGCACATACAATACCTATATGTAGCCCTGCTCTATGTATCTTAACCCCCACCTCAATACTAGTACAGACCTCCTTTGAAATCGAGCATTAATGAATACATAAGTTACAAACATACATCCGAGCGGACCGTCCAACGATACACGTTACTACCATACCCACCAGTGACACACAAGGAGCTACAGCTACAGCCACGCAGAAACCTTGACAGGTTTCCTGACAGCCGCCGAGTTGCCCTCTTTGAACTTGTACGCCACCCTGTACACTTTCTCCTTCGGTGCGTTCTTGCCCTTCGCGCTCTCGGGCTTGTCCTTGGACACGATCGGGCGTCCGAAGAAGTCCACAGCAATCTGATCGGCGAACGACACCCGCGAGAACACAGATGCACCAGCAACGCAATGTCAATGATCATGCTTGCCTAGCACAGGAGACGTCAACGGAGAGCAACATACCTTCTCAGCGGGCTTGTCGTCCTGGCGCGGCTTCTTGGCGAGCGGCTGTGCGTCGTCCGCCGAGGCCTTGTCTTTCGAGCTGCGAGCAAGCAAGCAGGCGTTCGTCGGTTCAATGTCAAACTCCGCAGGAGTGCCCGAGGAAAGGAGATCACTCACGCCCCACCGAAGAACGCCGACTTGCCTGCCTTGTTCTTCTCGATCCCCTCCGCCTGGCGTGCGATGACCTGCGCATCGATCTGGGAACGGAGCCATCAGCATTCCCCACCCTGGGCAAACTGAAACGAGCGCCCCAATCGCGTTCGCGTTCGTGTTCGTCGTTGGGACTCACCTCAGCAGCGACCAGATGCCGCACCGCGTACCGCGACACCGCGATGTCCGCCGCGCGCTTCCCGTCGTACGTGACGAACACGTCGATGGGCGGGTCGAGCCTATACACGAGCTGGCCCTCCTCCGTCTTCTCCTGCACGAACCGCAGCTCGAGGTTCGCCATCACGCTCACGAGCCGCGCCAGGACCGCCTTCTCCGCGGGGCGGATCACCTGGCTGTTCACCGGGCGCAGCGGGGGCGAGACGATGCGGTTCAGGTACGGGGCGAGCTCGAGCTGCATGAGCGTGTCGGACGCAAGGTGCCGCCAGTCGCCGCCGCACCGCGCGGCCGCTGTGCGGAGGCAGCGCGCGAGGGACTTGTAGATCTCCTCGTTTGTCTTGGTTTGCGTGTAGTGCTGCGTGCGCCGTGTCGTCAGTACGAAGAGCTGCACTTGACGGAGGGGAGATGCGGGGTACCTCCCAGTCCGCCTTTGGCCTCTCGACCTTTGGCGCGCCGCGGTCTTGGAAGAGCGGGTAGAACGCGACGAGGGGATACGGCATGTACGGCAGGAGCGCGTACTCCCTCTCCGCGCGCATAGCGCCCATGAGCACGTCCCATCTGCACAACCACTCCATCCCCTTCGAATACCGTTCAAACGACGCATCGTGCCGATGCAAGTTCGCATAGTGCTCGAAGCACCCTATCCACATGCATTAGCCCATCGCCTGCAGACTGCAGAAGCGGGCGAGAGGAAAGCACGACGCACCGATCGCGACCTTGTCCAACGAGTCGCAGTTCTCCACCGCCTGGCTCAACCGGCCCACATACCGCGGCTCGTCCTCCCTCACGCCCATCTCCTTCGCCCTTCGCCTCGACAGCGGCGCGAACAGGTCGTTCAGCACCGCCATCTGGCCCGCCTCCGCCTCCTTCATCCCGCGGGTCGCGCTCCGCACCATCGGCTCCGTCACCATCACCCCGCCCCCGGCTCCACCCCCGCCCGCCTTCGCCTTGAGCATCTGCAGCGTGTTCAGGCACCCGCGGAAGTCGCCCTGCGCGACGCCCACGAGCGTCGCGAGCGCGCGCGCGTCGGCCTTGACGCCCTCGCGCTCGCAGATCTCGCGCAGGCGGCGGACGACGTGTGTGTCGTGCGGACGCGAGAAGCGCACGATGCGCGCGTGCTGCCGGAGCTTCGTGAGCGAGGCCGCGTAGAGGTCGTTGCAGATGCAGATGATCGGGCGGAGGACCGGGCGCGCGGCGTCGCCGCCGGACTTGTGGGGGTTGCGCCCGCCGGCCATCTTCTTCTGGGGCCTGTCTTGCGTGAGCTGGATGAGCTTGTGGATGAACCCACTAGACTGCGTGTGGAGGACGCGAGTGAGCGGACGGGGCGAAAGAATAGCGCCGGAAGGATGGGATGAGACGTACAGAATCCGACCCGCCTGTTGCGCCGTCGATCTCGTCGATGACGACGAGGTTGGGCTTCGAGCTGCCGATCCTCGCGCCGCTCTCGAGGGCGGGACGTATCCGGTCGTCGACGACGTCGGCGGAGCGCGCGTCGCTCGCGTTGATCTCGAAGACGTTGTACCCAGCGTGCTGGGCGACGACATGCGCGAGCGTCGTCTTTCCAAGGCCTGGCGGGCCCGAGAGCAACAGCAGCTACAGCCAAAAACGACAGTGAGAACACGAAAGGAGGGAGGCGGAAGGATCCACTGCTTGCCTTTTCTCGTGGCCGCTGCCACTGGTCCAGGTTCTCGCCGTCCGCGTCGTCCCGCGCGCGTTTGCGGCCCCTGTTCTTATTCTTGCCGAACACGCAGCAGTCCCACTCCTTGACCCACGCGAGGACCTCGCGATGGACGCGGTCGTCCCCAAGCAGCTCCGTGAACCGTGATGGACGGTAGCGGTCGACCCACAGATTCGCATTGTTTGTGGTATTGAGCTGGACAGGCTTGCTAGGCTGCGCCTCCCTGCATATCTGCGTCGTCAATAGCCTCCCATGAAAGTGAAGGGTTATCACGCACTCGCTGGCGGGCTTGGTCGCTGCGGAGACGGAGATATCCTCGAGCATCTTGTGAACAGGAACGTCAAGCAGCGTCTTCATCCGCTGACCCGCTTGTGGCAGGATGCCTGCTCGTCTCTGTAGAAACGTGAGCTCGGTCATGTGCAATAGACGAGAGCGTGCAGCTTCGACGTACCAGTGCGGCGGTCGCTTTCGCTCGTGGTGGTTTCCTTGTGAAGTGGACATGAGAGCCGTCGAAGGTCTTGGTGGATATGACCTTGGAGCTTGAGGGTAGGGGGGCGAGGGAGGCGACTTGGGCCGTGTACGACTTTAGCAAATCTGCTACGTCTGGGAGGTGCTCATCTGAGAGAAAGTATGTTCGATGAATGAGAATGTTGGAAGATATTGCGAGTTGGGCGTGCCTTGTGACTGAGACTGGGATGTGGTCTCTTGCGACATGACTGTCGTCGATTCAGCAAATAGCATTGGTGCATCTGCAATCGGATCCTTCGTTCAGCTGTGACCACTTTTGGCAGGGATGGTGGCTATCAAGGCTGGCTCGTTCCTATGACATGCTTGGTACGATACAACGAGCGATAGTTCCGCACGGGTCGCAGTATCACCCCGCAGAGGCCGTACAAGGATCTGAATTAGTGGGGTACGCACCGCCAAAGTCTCCGCTACCCACAAGAGTGGACTCTGCTTCAGTCGTCTCGGATAGTAATGTGGCTTCTGCCGAGAGCAACCCGTTGGGCAAAAATGCGTGTTCGACCATGGACTGCTGTAGGGATTGGGGTACGCTGCTGGGCGTGTCCGCAGAGAAAAGGAGGCTGCTAGGGAGACCGAACTCGAGGGCGGCCATGGCGTTCAGTGCGTGTCGTTGAAGAAGAAGAAGAAGACGAGGAGCAGTAAATAAAGTAACAGGCCTGCAGCTGCAGCGAACGAGTCTGAGTACGCCGTTGGCGTCGTCCTGCGCCCCACCCAACGCGTCCAAGACGCGTCTGTGGCTGCCCTCCTCTATTTGGGCGGAGCTTGAAACACGTTAGCTGCAGCCAAGATACAGCAGACATCTTTGTCCAACCAATTAGATTGACCTGCAATGTTCTGTGTGCTAGATTACAACCCACAACAAGAACAGTACGCTAGGGAGCGGATAGCGGCTGATATTCAGTGCATAGATTCCCTCAGCTTGCTTCACTTTTCTGTCCAGGATGCCCGAGTACTTGTTTCCCGCCGCTCAGTGCGACGCACCCCGTCCACGCCTCTGCATATGCATGTGTTCCTCCCAGCACCCCGCGCCCTCGCCCTCGACCCGCTCCATCCACTCCCTCTTCACCCGCATGATGCACGTCCGGTGCGGGTCCATCCCAGCCACCATCTTCGGCATTTCAAGCGGCGGGAGGACGGCCACCGGCACCCTCGCCCGTTCCTTCGAACGCTCGAGGTGCGCCAGGAAGTCGCGGAACGCCAGGTGCGCCGTCGTCGTCGCAGGCCCAGGCGGCGGCGCGGGGTGCGGCTCGATCATGACGTGCTGCAGGTGCGCGAAGAACTCGTCCGACCCCTGGTCGCCTGCAACGTCGTCGAATCACCGTCAGGACACCCATCCGGCCGTGCGGGCACAGAAGCGCACTCACCGATGACCTGGTCCAGCGTGTCCACCGTGACCCGCGGGTGCGAGTCGAGCCTGGACACCCGCAGGTGCGTCACCCCCGGCGCGTGCGTCGCCCACTGCAAGAAATCCACGTCCCGCCCCACGAACGCCAGGATGTGGTGCAGCCTCTTCAGGGCCGGGTACAGCGGCCTCCCCTCCGGCACGAACCCGAACGGCATGAAGCTCGGGTCCCCGCCGACGAGCGTGAGCTCGCGCAGGCGCGGGAAGCAGCACCGCACGACCGTGCTCGCGCGCCACTGCGCCTGCACGAGCGCGAGCGTCTGGATGTCCGGCGCGACCGCGCGCACGAGCGTCGGCACGACGTGGTTGTACCGCTCGTCGAGGCTGTCCTGCGCGGAGCGCCAGTTTTGCGCCCGCCGCTGCATCTGTGCGAGGAACTCGGCGCGCGACGTCGGCCGCGGCCCCGCCCCTGCCCCCGCCTCCGCATACCCGGAGGCTGCTGAGGAAGGCGCCGCAGCGGGGCTGTCGAGCCCCTTTCCGAACAGCGAGAGGCAGAGGTGGCGGACGCGCGGGAGGGCGTCGGTCGCGCGCGCGCGCTCGGCCTGGTAGCACGCGAGGAACTGCTCGATCTGCGCGGGGGACGTCATGAGCGAGACGGAGAAGAAGCGAGCGGGGCGCGAGGCCGCGCGCACCCGCTTCGAGACGAGCGCGAGCGAGCACCCCGTGGGCCCGCCGTCGGTGCAGGCGTAGAACGCGATGAGCGTGAGCAGCTCGACAGCGAGCTTGTCGAGGGGACTTGGGCCGGGCGATGGGGCGCTGGCTGGGGTAGCCGATGGGCGGGTCGTCGACGTCGACGGTGACCTGGGCGTGACTGGCGCAGCTAGGAAATTGGGGGTGAGCGAAAAATGAGGTGGTTGAGAGCCGGCTAGAGAGCCGAACTGGAATTGAGGCGTCATCAGCAAAACTGCATTTCACTTGGTCTCCGACGTGCTTCAAGATGCTTGAAAATATGCTACAGAATATCAGCAATGTATTCCGTTGAACATGCTAAGTTCTCTCTGATTCTATTAGGAACCAATTTTGGGGGGGTGGGAGGTGCTCGAGGGGGCTCGAGAGCAACGTAGGCAATTAAGGCCAATTGCCTCCAGCGATTGGCTAGATTGTCGGTGATTGTTTCTATTGTATTTAGGTAGACCTGAGGACAAGCGGCATAATAAACGGTATAAGGACATCTGCTTTGGACGATTGGCCACGGTTGTCTGACTTATGTACACGGCGAAGGGAGCCAAGCGCCGCCAATGCGGCCAATGAGTTTCTGCGAAGCGTACTGATTGTAAACAATGGTCTCAAATGCGCGCGGCCGTGCAGTAATTCGTTCCCTTTTCTTAGAGGTCATCAAAATGAGCCGCAAATGCTAATTGGGGTGGCCAATGCAGTCACCACACCAGATAGTCACGTCAAGAAGCATCCATTAGGGAACACGAACGGTACAGCCACTACAACGTACATGATCTGCTCTACAGTCGACATGAGTGAGGCCGTCATCGTGCCTGGGACGAGGAGCAGCAGCCCGAAGCCGTAGAGGCGCTTGAGGCTGTCGGAGAGGGAGGGTCCGGCGGAGCAGTACGTCTCGAGATCGGTGTTGAGCTGCTAAACCCCGCGCACGGCATCCATAGTCAGTAAAGCGTGTATTTGCGGGCTTCAGCGTGCTGCATCCGAGGCCGGTTCTTGTGCGACGGCTTGTTCATCTTGTGGGCCCCCGCCTTCTTCTTGCGCGCCCGATTCCTGCCCGGGGACCTCCTCGGTGCGAGCTTGCCCGTTTGCCTCCTCGTCGTCGTCGGCATAAGAGAGGCCTTGAGACGCTTGTGTGCTGGCGTCGTCTTGTTGCTCAAGTCGACGCATGGCCATTTGTTGAAGCCGGGCCTTGTGCGTGACGAGTGCCTGTTCTCGGATCGTGCGGGCACCACGTCTTGTGCTATCGTCATCGCCAGCCTTGCCGTCGTCGTAAAGCGAGTTGTTTTTTTGTTGGAGCTGTCTCAGGCGTACGTTGTCATCTCCGTACGCTCTGCCAAAAATCCACCTGTAACACAAGAAAGTAAGAACAGTTAGAGTGGATGTGGGCAAAGCAAACCGATTATAATGCGCGAAGACATTCTCGTTCAACTCTTCCTTTTCGGACCCAGGTTGAAAGAGCCCATCTTCAGCGGCGTCTTCGTGGGCTTCAAATTCGAGGTCCAGGAATTCGCGGAGGGCCGAATGAAGTAGTTGCCCGGAGCCATCCGCATCGTCACCGTCCCAGTCCTTTTTGTCGCTCAGCAGAAATCTAACCTGCTCGATGGACAGATGCGTCAGTAAGAGGAGACATGTGTTATTGACGGAGGCTCACCAAGGAAGCCACGTAGGCAATCATTGCGCTTGTGACGCAATAAATGTTGTGCTTCTTCGATAGTGTTGAACGGCCTGTTCCGGGTACCCCAGGGGGCTGACTGGCGGAGGTAGCCCCCGTCAGAAGAGTCCGTACACACTAGTGGGACCCGTGTGTGCTGTAAGTAGAATGCTAGTCAACAGGAGTACCACACACCTTTCGAAAGAACGCGCCCTTGAAAAGACCGTACGAAGGATCATCGGCGTTATACTCGAGTGTTGCTGGGAACAAAAACGAAGGATAGGAATAGCTTTCGTCAGTCTCTGGATGCTTGCGGAGGCGCTTTTTTTTCAGTTCGGGCGTTTCGGCTAATTTTGTCATTCGGTAACTGTGCGACCGAGTTAGCAAACGGGCACACGATTGGAGAGAAATGGGGAGTATTATCACATGGTCCCATTGCGGTCAAAGCGTTCGCGTTCGTTGATGTTGACAAGCAGGCGGGCGGTGCAGTCGGAATAGAGACCGCAGTTACGTTCCCTCTTTTCGAACTCTAGCGGTGAGAGCGCGGGCACGGCCCAGTCGGGGGCGATTTGGACGTCTTCGAAGAATTTTGGAAGCTCGACTTTGAGCGTTCGGATGTCCGACGTGCGTGCCGCTCGTGCGTGGTAATCAATCTGCAATGTCAGCGATGTCAGGCACACGGCGCAAAAATCTGGCACACCATCCAACAGAGGAACTCCGGGTGGTCATCAGGCATAGTGATTCTCACCCGCAAGCACCTCGAGGTCAACGACGACGAGGACACAGCAGATTCCCCCAACGTTCAAGTACGACTCGATCCCAACAACGCGAACATTTGTAGGAAAGTGGACAGACTTACGAAGCGCGCCACAGCCAAAATGTCTTGCGGGCGATCCTTGAGCTTCTCCGCATAGTTTCGGAAGATTGTGTGCTCTTGGATGAGGTCTTCGAACACGTACACCAGATATTGAGCGTCTTTGAATTTCCTGTATGTACAACACATGGTCAGCCACGCCCCGGAGCCCACGATCCACGCACACTTTGCGAACTGCCTTGATCCGCTTGGTGCGATCGGCCTCCGACATGGGCCCGAGCTGCCAGATACTTATCCCTGTGATGAACATGGAATTAAAATTGTCGTAGGGCGTGTACTGTCGTGGGAGGAAACGGGCAAGATCTCGAAGCCCAGCAAGGTGGGAAGACTTATCACTAGCAATAAAGAAGGGGTGGTGTGTTAGCGGGGCAAACGCGGGCACGAGAAAACAGGGGGCGTACGACACCCCGTAGCCCTTGTCGATGCGCCTCATATCACGCTTGAACTGACTCCACGTCAGCTCGTCCTCGTTGGTGTCGTCATGTTCGCTTGCGCGCCGAGGGTGTCTCTTGGTGGGCGAACGGGACCGTGATTCGGACGAGGAGGTAGAACAAGAACGGCGTCGGCGTCGGCTACGATTTTTGTGGCGGGATGAATGCCGACGGGATGACGCAGACGCGGATCGGGACTGGCGACCTCGGGACGATGAGCGACTGCACGACCTGCGGTGGTATCGGTCATGTTTGCGCCTCCCAGCTGAGGCATCTTTGTGACGGTCGCGTTCGGAGGCACGTGGAGGTGCGCGTTCCGTACGAGGAGAGGAAGGGCGACCAGGCGCATCTGGGCGCGCGCCGGATGAGGGAGGTTGTCGGTTGGGAGAAGGGTGACGCGGCACAAGACGGGGGGGGCGCGAGGCGTTTGCTGAGGGCTGGGGACGTGGCTGCGTAAAATCAACCACAGGGGGTTGGTTGGCTTCTGGGTCCTCTGCCAGCTCGGCCTCTTCTTGAGCGAGCCAGTCGTCCACCCAGTTTTGGGGAGGACGCGACGTCTTCCCCAGCACTGGACGTCGCATGTCCGGGTGCTGCTCGCGGGCCGAGCTATCAGGATGCATTGCCCGAGGTTGAATGGTGTTCTCGCTCGGGCCTTGGGCCATGGGGACTACCCCGCGTTCTGCGGAGCCGAGCTGAGGATCGCGGTCGCGGGATCGTCCTCGCTCCCGAGCGCGATCTCCCTCGCGTCGGTGGCGGTGAGGATCGTCTTGCTGGTGGCGATCGCGGGACGCGTGCCTGCGAGGCTTGTGAGTATCGTGCTTGCGTGCCTTTTTATTGGAAGGCGGGGTGGGCGAGCGAGACGAAAGTGACCTGCGCAGGACGAGGTGAGTATATGCGCACACACAGGTACCTATATGCGCCCCAATACACGTGGCATATCGCTCACCTTGGCCGTGGTCGCCTTTTCCTGTGATTGTCACCCATGTTTGAATGCCGAAACACTGTGATCGATGTATGCGAGTTGAACTCGGCTGGAAGCGTATCGAGTATGAGATATGAGTCCTTGTTGACCCCAACAAGGACTCAAAGCGTGAGCATCACGGTCGCGAGAATACTAGAAAGCGGAACACTTACAGTCTTCGGGTGGAAGGTTGTGGTTCGGGAGCAAGATGGGACTTGCACAAACGTCGGCCATCTGAGAGACTTGAGACTTGGAGAGAGAAGAGAGACAGAAGCTGACCCGATGCGGTAAGTGACGCGATCGGCGAGCCTTCTTGGCGTCGGATCGTGTTGTCGTGTTCATCACGTGACCGCGCACGGTCCATCCAGGACACTTTGCCGATTTTTTCTCTCTCTCTCCCCAGCAGGCCGCCACTTCTGCAGGGCCCAAAAAACGTTCCCATGCGCATACTCATTATTGCGCTCCTTTTTCTTGTAACCCTCATGCTCCAACAATGCGAGGGATGCGGTCGCGACTTCAAGGACCTCACCCGCCACCGCGCGAAGTGCGCAGACACACGCGACTTACTCGCCGGTGGCATCAAGCGTCATCTCGACCAAGACGAACGTCGCAATGCCATCCGCACCGCCAAAAAGCAAGAGTGGCAAGCCAGGAAGAAGGCGGAGATCGCAGAGCGCAAAAGAAGGGAGCAGGACAAACGGGCGCGGCTCGAGGTAGGCAGTGTGTGGGACATCCGTACAGGCCTGACCTAACGCATATATATGCAGGCTGAACGGGCTGCTAGCATGCCCGTTTTCCCTGATTTTGTTAGCCAGCGCACCGGTCGTACACGACGCATTCCCGGGGCCTTCCGGGACATGGTCCCATCGACGCTGAGGGGTCTCCCGAGTGCGCTCACCCCCGTCGCCAACCCTCCCCCCCCTATGATATTCGCTCCGGAATTCTCCCTTCCTCCAGCAGCGTTTGAGGATTTTGCTCCAGCCTACCCTGACTCGGCCCCTGGCTCTCCTCCAGCTGAGCCGCACGCCTATGTCGAGGACGCCCCCGAGGAACGTGAGCGCGAGCCGAGCGGCCGTGCGTTTCCGCCACACACCATGGACCTCCCCCCCGGAGCACCACCTCCCCCACACTTTGACACGCCCCCAAATCAATACGGTGTTTTCCGTCGCTACATGTCCCTTCCCCAGAGGGATCCGGAGGAAGGTCTCACGCCAGCGGACTTCGCGGACGCCGCCACGCACCTCGTACCCCCTCCGGACAATCGCGAGCGCAACCCACTGCGCGCATTCGGGGTGAGCTTTGCCGATGGCCTCGCCCGTGCTCGGGACGTCGCCGCGCGATCTTATGCGCCTTTCCTCAACTGGAGCGTCTTCAGCCTCATGCACTGGCAGTATTCTGGGTCCGTCACGAAGTCAACTGGGGAACTCCAGCGTCTCGTCGATGATGTCCTCCTCGACCCGCGTTTCGAGAAGGACGACTTGACTGGGTTCAACGCTACTCGAGAAAAGCGGCGCCTCGACAACCATCAAAGCACGCTGGGTGCCTTCTCGGTGGACGACGGGTGGCGCGAGATCGACATAGAACTACACCTTCCGAAGGAACGTGTGCAACACGAGGACGAGAGGACCACGGAGTCATTCTTTGTACGTGGCATCTGGGCGCGCAAATTCACGGAAGTCATCAAAGCCGCTATACGGGATCCTGTCGCGCGAAAATATCACTGGGTTCCACACCAACTCTTCCGCCGCCGCTCTGCTGACCAGCCCCCCGAGCGCATTTACTCCGAAGTGTACAACTCCGACGCCATGCTTGAGGAGCACCAAAAGCTTCAGAACAAGCCGCGCAATCCAGACGATGGCCCAGACATCGAATATGCTGTGTGCGCCCTCACTGTGTACTCCGACTCTACGCATTTGGCGCAGTTCGGCACCGCATCCCTTTGGCCGATTCATACGTTCATTGCGAACTTGTCCAAGTATTTCCGGCTCAAGCCCACAATGTTTGCGGCTCACCATCTGGCTTATGTTCCTCCTGTACGTTTCCGGCCCGGATGTTCAGCTTCCATCACTGACTTGCCCCTCGCAGCTCCCCCCCGCTCTGTTTGAGTGGTACAAGGACCTGTACGACGCCCCACCTTCCGCGGCCGTGATCCGGCTGCTCAAACACGATCTGATGCAGAAGATTTGGCTGGCCCTGCTGGACGCCGATTTCATGCACGCGTTCGAACATGGCATCCTCATCGAGTGCGCCGACGGCATCGTACGGCGTATATTTCCACGGATTTTCCTGTATTCTGCGGATTACCCTGAAAAGTGAGTGTTCAAATGTTCTTGAGTTGTTGTACATACCTCAATGTTCTGAGTAGATGTCTGGTTGCATGTCTGAAATTCCTCGGGAAATGCGCTTGCCCGGAGTGCCTCATCGAAAAGAAGGACTTCGGAATGATGGGCACCAAGACAGATCTCAAGCACCGCGTCACAAAAAAGCGCGAGGACACCGGGTTCCTGCGCGCTGCGATTGCCAAAGCCCGCGAATGGATCTTTGGTCTCGGACGCGCTCCCGACGGTACTAACATCAAGGCGACGCTTCTCAACAAAGTGTCTGTCACGCCGACGAGGGTGAGTCTGACGGGTAACATAGTGTACGATATACCCTAACAATCTTTGAGATCTGTAGTCCGCATTCTCCATCCGTTTCGCCAAATTCGGAAAGAACGTCTATGATCTGTTCACGCCGGACTTGATGCACGAGTTTGAACTGGGCGTGTGGAAGTCAACGTTCACACACTTGGTTCGGATTCTGATGGCTGCTGGCAATGACGCGGTTCAGGAACTTGATCGGCGGTGAGCAACTACTGTCTTGGCTTCAATTGCAGGTTGTGAAGTCACATCGCCGCCCAGCTTCTCACTCATACGGCCATTTGGACGCGGTGTCATCCGCCCATTCAATGGCAATGTGTCTGCCATGAAGAAGCTTGCGGCTAGGGACTTCGAGCAGATACTACAGGTTGTTCGGGTTGTCTAACGCCGCTGTTTCATACTAATCCGCCACTTTAACAGTGCGCAATGCCTGTTTTCGAAGGCCTGCTCCCTGAGCCGTACAATAGTCTCATCCTCGACCTCATTTTTGAGCTGAGCATGTGGCACGCGTTTGCCAAACTCTCACTGCACACAGATACGACTCTCAGCAAATTCCAAGCCGTCACGGTGTCCCTTGGGAAGGCGATGCGTGCCTTCGTTAGTAGGGTCTGCCCCTTCTTCGACACGAAGGAGCTCCCGAGAGAGACTCAGTCCCGTCAACGTCGCAAAGCCGCGTCTGCGCAGAACGTCCCAGGAGGTCGAGCCGCTCCCTCTGAGGACGACTCATCCCCCAAGATCAAGTCGTTCAACGTCAACACGATTAAATATCATCGTCTCGGCGATTACGTCCGCATGGTTCGACAGACCGGCACGTCGGACAATTCAAACACTCAGACGGTGAGCACCCTATCAAATTTGAAGCTGGGAAGCCGCATGGCCTCACCCCAATGGCTTCTGTGCTCGAGACGCTTGCCTATGCTATCACCCTTGCATACGCATACCGCAACAACTTCCCCTTTTCGATAGGTTCAGATATTGCCTGTCGCGCATTTACTAATTCACTCACCAGGGCGAATTAGAGCATCGGCGACTGAAGAGCTTCTATAAGCGCACTAATAAGAATCTTACATTCGGTTCTCAGGTGGCCGCGGAGGTACGGCGACAGGCCGTTCTCGACAGGATTCACCGCGGTATCCCGGTGTCGTCTACGCGACGCAGAACCCGAGCTACACCCACAACCAAAACCAGGCGTCGACATGACATTCGCGTCCAATTCGAAGAGGACCAGCCGCTCTCGGCGACTGTGTTCACCGACCATCACCATATGTCTATAGAGCAGCGCTACCCTCAAGATATAGGCGAGTTTCTGCACGCTAACGCTGGGGATCCAGCATGCAAGGTGTGTACATGCTGGTCGCATCGTGCAGCCATTTGATGCGTGCATATCCTAGGACTTCGTAAAAAACCTCAAGACACATCTTTTCGCCTGCATGTCTGGTGGCGACGGCGCGCTCACCATGGACCAACCCATCGCAAACGCAGATCTCGCCCGTGTTCGCATCTGCGGCAATCGGCTGTACCGCCAGAAGGTGTTCCGGGTCAACTACACGACATACGACATGCGTCGCGCCCAGGACTCAATCAATCCACGGACGCACCCCGACATTATGATGGTCGCACCTGAGGACAGCGCACACCCATACTTATATGCACGCGTCATCGGCCTCTTCCACGTTAACGCTTACCTAGCCGGCAGTGACAGTTTGGGCGCAGACGACACACAACCAAGGCCATATCAGCTCCTATGGGTACGTTGGTTTGACTTCGACACTCAAGCACCTGGCATCAAGTCGCGACGTTTGCCACGACTCAAATGGGCTCGTGCGGACGATGAGCCATTTGGTTTCCTCAATCCCCGCCAGGTTCTCCGTGCAGCGCAGCTCATACCCGCCTTCCACTACGGTCAGTCGGACACAGCCCTGCCCGGCCCCAGTATCGCCCGACAGGTGGATGAGGACGACGTCGACTGGAATTTCCACTATGTTGGCATGTAAGTCACATGTTTACTCTATATTGTCTACCAATTTCTACTCAATGCTCTATAGTTTCGCTAACCGGGACATGGTGATGCGCCATGTCGGGGATGGTGTCGGACACCAGCATACTGCTACCAATCAAGTCCCACCTCCTGCCGCTGAGGGCGACCCGGATGAAGAGCTCAACATGGACGGACCTCAAGCGGACGAAGACAACATCATGGAACCGGACGCTCCGGAAGATCATGAGATGGCCGACGATTACGATGGTGTCGACTCGGAGATCGACCACGACGAGGAGGAAGCAAGTACGGGAGGCAGCGAGGATGATGACGATGGTGAGCAGTTGTATGATGATGAAGACCTGGGTCCGGAAGACGGGGAGGACCACTGTCAGGCATCGGACGATTACGAGTACGCCCGTCTGGGCTATGCACCCTTGTAGGTAGCCTGCAAATATGTTTCGACCTCGTTTCGCGCAGCGCACGTGTCATACTGTATTCTTGTCTCTCTTGTCTCTGCAACGTGCTTTTGTATTGATGAACTATGAATCGTATACGGGTATTCTACTCAAGCATCCTGAGACATCTCCCCGTACAATTGGTTGCGAAACATTCTCCTCCCGGCAATCCCTTCCTCGACTTGTGTTCAGACCCGTCCCATTGGCTTGATTGTCTTCGGCGCCAATCTGGCCCAATTTTCGACGTCATGGCCAATCGGGCCAACCTTAGCCAACCGTTTTGCACTTTTGCTGATGGTAGACAGTCCTGCTCGGAGGAGTTGTGGACGCTGCATAACGATGGACGGCGACGTAAGTAGCGATAGAAATTCGCCTCGTATTGCTTTATGTGTATGTACGAGGAACCTGAGATGAACGAAGTACTGATGGACGCGAATCAGAGCAGGTTGATGCACTGAGATAGCTAAGTAAGCTTCGCCAACACTACACAGTATGTGAACGCTTCTGCCGTTGCTGTGACGAACGAAGAGCAGCCGAGTGCGCTGTTTCACAGGGGTCAGCATAAGCAGCACTAATGCAACCACTCACTACGATCGCAGCATCGCCTTCGAGGAGTGCTGACGACAAGATCCATCACCAACCCTCACCAAGTACGGCTACCAGATGATCATGATCCACGGGTCAAAGAAGCCGAGGAGAAGCACGGAACTAATCATGACATACATATCTGACTGCTGACCTGAGGCATTAGGCCCAGGTCTCACCATCATGGCAATCAATTGAAGTCGTAACTGTATGCTCTTTGAAGTGCCAGGCACAAGAACCGGTATCCATACGGCTTTGACCTAGCAGTGTTCGAGAAGATGGACGGAGGACGACCATGTTTAGCAACGCTGTGACTGACTGGACACCGCGTTAGCGGCAGCTCTTGCTCGATTATCTTTTTGCACAGCATATGTTCTCTCTGAAGATAGCTCAATTGAAACCGGCAGAGCACGGGCTCAAGACCTCACGTCAGCATCAATGTATGTATCGGAATATGATGGAACGTGTGCCTAAGATCAGAGCTAAGCCAAGACGGCAAAGACTGCAGCTCAATGATGGGACGAAAACCAAGTTCGGCGCGTCTTGGCACAGTCTGACTGCTGGTCATTCGAAGCCGATCACAGTAATATCTGTTATGGATCGGAAACCTTCGAATGCAGCCAAGGTGGACTAAGGATCATTGGCAGAAGGTGGAATAAAGTGCCGGCCGCCAAAAGAGAATACGCTGAACGATGAGAGATGTTTTCGAACACAGCGCAAAGCAGTTCGTCCGTGTTGGGGACCTTCTCGGGGTGTATTCTGGGCGTAGCAGGATCAGACGAGATTGCAGCATGTCCGACTGGTCTAGGAGTGCGAACTCGAGCGCCGTCGCGAGCAAGCCGACATCAATCGCCTTCGGAGCGCCACTGGATTGGCAGCTTGCTATGTGGCGCGAACACCTATGGTATAGAATTGAACATTGAACACGGGGATTATGGGTTAGAGAAAGGTTCTAGTACGCATATATTCAGTCTTCTTGCTATAGATAGACAATCGATTGACGTACCAGACGTGGGGGGTTCGTCATCACTTAATTCCAGAGGCTCCTGTAGGCCCGTAGCAACACCGCTCTCATGATCCTCCGCAGCGGGGGTGCCCAGAGCCCAGCACCCTTCACCACCTTCTATTCTAGCCAACCAGTCCCTGAGTGCTGTCTCTGTATTGAAGTCGTGGAATTGCTGCAAGTTGCCCACGACGTTATCATCCCAGTCGCTCAGTAGAACCGTATCTACCCTGGTTTCCTTCACGGACTGACGAAGCCACTGGATGTATTGCCTATACGCGGCAATGGTGACCGTTGCCGCGATGTCATCCTCTTCTGGCTCGGCTTCAGGTTGAATCAAGACTTGCTTGAGGTGAGGGAATAGGACGTCTTCCTCTGCTACCCTGCCTATAGCGATTTCGTAAGAACTTATGGAGTACATACCGAGACGGAGGAAACTACGTACTATATGCGCGTAGAAGCGTGTCGAGGGTAACGTCAGGGCGAGCGCTGAGCCGAGAGACCTTCAAATGCGTGACGTTGGGTGCATGGCGGGCCCATGGAACGAAGTCGACATCGTCGTGATCGAGGAGCATCAAGACAAAGATATGATGCAGTCGTTTGAGAGATGGATAGAGAGGGTCATGGTCTGCAGGGACATCCGTGAAACGAGCGAACTTCGGATCTCCTCCTAGCAGCGTCAGCTCCTTGAGCTGGGGGAAGCAAAAGAGTGACTTGGGTAGCTTGCGGAACTTGCTTTGAAGGAGGACGAAAGTACGTAGGTCCGGGGAAACGAGTTCGAGGAGCGCGGGAACAAGGGGGGCATACCGTTCGCTGAGCTCGTCCTGGTCATCCCCGAATTGGGTCATCAGTTCAATGATGCGGCGGTATCGTTCAGTGTCATTCTGGGCGTTGAGGATTGCGTCCATCCTCGATGGATTGAAGATATTCGCCTGGCCGAGGAGCGAGAGGAAGAGATGGCGGACCCTGAGCGGAGACTCGGCGACACGGGCGCGTTCAGCTTTGAAGCATGCAAGAAAGCGTTCCATCTGTTCTAGAGTAGATGCAAGAGCAACACTGTAAAACCGTGCAGGGCGCGATACGTCACGGATGTGCTTGGAGACCAAGGCCAGAGAACACCCTGTGGGACCGCCGTCAGTGCACGCAGAGAATGCGATCATGGAGAGAAGTTCCGTAGGAAGCAGAGCGAGCGACATTCTATGAGACGAACAAGACAATAGTGAGAGAATAAGATGCGGTATTGCCAAATACTGTGAAGCAGGGAGTCATTGATGATCATCAAGAGGCCAAAAGGCTTGGGCGACCTTTTACCAGGGAAATTGCCGACGAAGTAGGAAACACAGACGCCCATCATAGTCATGGAGCTCGTTACAAGGGCAGCTCGTGCTACATATACCCGGTAGAAATCATGCCAAGTCATTGCCCGATGAGAAACGATCCGATGCTAACTAATACATCTCGTTGTAAGGCGGACACTTGGAACACGATATCGATGGAGAAGGCTGCGGATGTACTAACCGAGAGAATCTAATGATTGCGGCCTGAAGGAGAGGTTACGTGAACAAGAGGTTATTTGCGTTGTCTAACTCGCAAAAGGTCGGGCGAGGGCATGAGAAGGTCGACTGGGGTAGCAAGAGAGAATCCGCACATATCGCATGCTCATTGCGAGAAGGAATGCCGCTTATGTAGTTACTCGACGATACGCACGTCCATGCTCGACATCAAAACATGCAAGGACATGCCGAAACATCGTTCTCATAGCAAACGCCGCGCGGCCGGCACTTCGGAGGGCCCTGACACAGCATAAAAATCGTCTGTTGCATTGTCATAAGAGATTACGCAAGGAAGAAAGATAGTTCGTGATCTACGTACTCGATGGTCCTCGAGACAGCCCTGGAAATGGCGAATAGCCACGATGATTCATGAACATAGAGCGACGAGGGTCAGTCCGGCCGCCTTCGTCAGTATGGCAGGGTGTTCCGGGCTGTTCATCCGGCGGAGAAGATAACTGCTCCACCAACGTGTCTAGGGGCGGAGACAGCGCCTTGAAAGGCTCGGCACTTTCCAACCGCTTCGCCAATGCTCGGACACAGATGGAGCATTCACACCCAGCGTCATCAATGGTGGACACCCTCCGGATCCCTCGGTTCAAATGCATGGTGCCAGAGGCCCTAGATACGAACGCAGCATAGGGCATTGCTGGACCCATGAGCCTCTCGTACTGAGAAGGGGCACGAAGTTGCGGAGGTTCGCTAGCGGCTGTGGTGATCCCACTTCTGTTAGGAAAAGGGAAAAAGCAACGAAGGATCGTGTCACATACTCGCGGCCTCAATCCCGTATTCAATTATCCGCTGCACGCTACGAGCAAATCGCGGTAAATGCGAGTGATTTGGTTTGCTATCGGAGGGAATGCGCTCGGGTCGTTTGCCCTTCGGGTCCTGCACCGGATTGGCAACCTGCGACATATCAAACCCGCCTCGCGCGTTGGACTGGATATCCGACCCCTTCGCGCTGGTACATCAGTACAGCATCACATGAACAGAAGAGCACAAGGATAGTTACCTCAATTGAAAATGGATATGCAGGAGATGAGGTCCATCCCGCACGGTATGCACGCGACTGCGGTACGTTCCCCAACTCCAGACTTGGTTCAATGTGAGCGGACTGCATGCCCATCGTGAGGATGTGGGCGAGGTAGCCGGTCATTGCCTGTGTGGGCTGCTGCCTAAAGTCATTGGGGGCTAGGCCAGAAGTGTTGGCTCGGCGAAGCAGTGCGCGAAATTCGATACACGCACCATTCTCTTTCTGACTGACCGGCAACGGCGAGTCCGTGCATACACGCTTAGGAGATGGATCGGTACAGGCTTCCCCTTCTGCAAGGGCCTCACCCGACGGTTTACGCTTGACGGGACTGGAAGGGAGGGATAGCGATGGTTCCTGAGGCATGTCTCGTTGTTCTATGTCATGCCGTGTTGCGAAAGGAAAACAACCGACCATGAGGGGCTCTGAAGCAGATGCTTTCTGTGTGATGAGGGTCGCCTTAGGATATAGGGGCTTCACTGGCGATGCGCTCAAACTGCCGAAGGACACTGAAGGAAAAGGAGAGAAGGCAAACTGAAAAGTCTGCACCTAGTCGCAAAATGCTGTCCATCTGCTGCCGGCATCTAGAGCAGCGAGCCTGGCGTCGTGTCGGCTAGGTGGAGATGACTTGGATTGAGATATTCTGTAAAATATAAATGGAAAGAGATGCCAGATACGTACTCGGAGTGCGGAAACCCTGAACACGATGCAAGTTTCCTTGTAAGCGGAAAGGACAGGAGACCACGCTCGCGACGTTCGAGTTACGTACAAAGCATGCCGATATTCTGTCCCGACCCTCATGAGTTGTCAGTTTCCTAGACGAGACATACGGTCTTGACAGCGGCCTTCGAGATGAGCGTACCACAGCCCGGCCTCTTCAATGCTTTGCGTGTTTTGGGGACAGTACTAGTCGAGAGATCTCTAGTGAAACAACGGCCGGGACATGAGGCTGCTTACTGACACTGCGCATTGGGTCGCGCCCCAATAGAGCCGATACACAAGGCTTCAGTGGTATGTTTCGTAAAGATATCGAGTGTCCCGTCAGCGAGACCCACAATACTCACAAGCATAGTAAGGGAATCAGAGGGGCTGGGACCGCCGCACCTACGATGACATTGGGCCTTTTGAATTTGACTGGGTTGAACACATCAATGGGCGCAGCATCAAATTATCACTGGGAGAGCAGACACGGCAGATGACGCTGGAGGAACTCAGTGTCGTATGTATACTAGGTGCTCATGACGAGAAAAGCACTCGGTGCCCGATTGGACTTGGACAATGGCGCTTATGTGGTGATAGACGCGCTTGCGGGCACTCCCAACTGACTTCTGACCTCCACCAACGATCTACCACTGCTGCTGATCAAGGGCATTCATTCAAGGGATAATAGTGTATGTGCTATCATCTAACTTTCGTTTTCAAATGGCGTTTGACAACTTAGGGCCAGATTGTTCACATGGAGCCTGAAGCGTCGACCTTCGCACTTAGGAGAGAGCGAAACTCTGCTGCATTCCTCAACTACCTCCCAGAAGAACTAGTGTCTTCCATCTTTCTCTCCGTTATTGCTCTGGAGAGATTGTCGAGGCATCCCGATGCGTATCACCACTTTGAAGCCCCACCCGCGATATCGTCGCTCTTTGGCATCACTCATATCTGCCACCGACTCCGCACAATTGCGATTCGGCTGCCGTTCTTGTGGACGACGCTCAACTCACGTATGCCACAGGACCTCGTCGATCTATTTGTCCAGCGGTCTGCCGGTCTGCCGTTCCGGGTCTACTTTAGAGTAGGAAGGCAGCTCCCTGTTGGTAGCCCATTGCCGGTCTTCTCTTGCATCAACGTCTCCCGCATACAAGAGCTTTTCTTGACCATAACTGTCGACTACCACCACCATTTGCTCCCCCACGACAATGTCTTACTTCCCCTATCACCCACTCTCACCTATCTCAATCTCGTCCGGGAAGGCTTCTTCTCCCCTCGTATCCAAACCCCCGAGATATTTCCTGGAAGAAGAAACATACTAGTTGCCCTGGCTTTCTCGCTACAAGTAACTCCCCCTCCAAGGGATTACTTCCCCTGCCTGGCGCACTTACGGATAGCCGGGATGAAACACATGGACGGATCTGGCACGATCAATTCCTCCGACCTTCTGCGTTTGCTGGCCAATACGCCGAGCTTGGAGACGCTGTACGTCATCGAGGCCGAAATCGTGTGGGACGGAATGTCCCCGGTAACGACCACGGAAACCGTGCGCCTCGAGCGACTTCGCGTTCTTTGCTTCTACGATCAGCGTCTAGACGCGATACTCAACACCCTATCGTGCCTCGCACTCAACCCTGACATGACCCTACAACTACATCGGATTAGATACTTGGATAGCACTACCCCACAACTGGCGACGCTCCCCCCTCTCGGCGAACTTACGCACCTGGAGATAGCCTCAGAAGGCGAGCACTATCATATTAGAGCCTTCGGGCCGGATTGTGGGGTGTGGTTTCATTTTCACTCCGATTTTTTCTCTCAAGTGATCCATGGTGCCAATACTTCGGAGGACGTGTTAGCCTGCATGGCGGATAAGCTTGGCCCATCCCTTCGCCGAGTGCACACACTGCGCATAGCGACGGACGGGCACACGCACCTGATCGTGTCATTCTTGCGAAGGACCTCGCCGCTTCTTCCAACACTCGATACCCTCCTCGTTGCTTCCGAGAACGCCGACGGTCTGAGCTTCGCAGCTGCGCTCGGAGCAGCGTTGCTTCCCGGCGAACCGCCGTTGTCAATTCCGTCGCCGACACTCCAAAAGCTGCACGTACAGGTCTATCGCCCTATAGCGCGGCATGCGCCCATTGAATGGATGCTTGATACCAGGGTCCGCCTTGGTCACCCCATCCCCGAAGTCCTCCTCAGCATTGGACGTCGGGACGAGGTCTTTGATACCGCTCCCGCTGGCGAACATGCGGAGATGAACAACGTACTCTCGTGGGACCCTAGGTCGGACCCCTTCTGGCTGATTGAGACCCCCTACTGGCCGTTGTATCCCCCGGAGCGTGATATGGACTGGCTCTGGGGTCTTCCAAGATTGAAGTGGGATAGCGTATGTCCCGTGTCCTCGATCAATTCTGTGTAGCAGACCAAGGCTTACCCCGACCTTGCATCCAGTCATTCAAAAAATTGTAGAACTATAGTAGTGCTCCGCCGGTTTGCACGTTAGGATATAGTATGGTCGTTACATTCGCTCTCCCTCCCCTCCCTGTTCATGATTGACTCTCATTCCCCATTGGTCGTACCGACCCCGATATCTGAATCATGCGTAAAGGCATATTTCAAGTGCATGCGAGAGTCTCCGTTGAGATGCGCGTACGAATGCAAAAAGGGTCGACTGAACGTGCTGTGTTTGGATATATCCATCTTGGGAAATCGCCAGTGGCTGTGGAACGAGATCCGCATGACGCGAGTATCTTCTTCTCAATTGAATCACGCCCATCCTCCACGAGTGTATCACAACGGTAAGTCTGGGTGCTAGCGAGGGTCCTGGACAGACTGACCCTAAGGCTCCGCCTCCGATCAGGCCAGTACTAGCTGATATCGATGGGAGGGCTTCAATCATTGCTCTACGACGACGCCGCCGATAGTGACGAGAACCGGGTAGATATCGACGACGATCCTGCTGAACCAGTCCGCCATGTGCGCTGGCTGCTCTCCGAGCTCGGCCTCCCGATGGAGCTGGTGCTCGACATCATGGACCTCGCGGAGTACTACCCCGCCGTCTTTGCCGAACGCAGCGACCCGGTCCGGATGCGCTCAGACCAGCACACGCGCGGGGACAACTGTTCCGCCTTGCTGTACCTCGTCAGCCCTCTGCTCCCCGCAGGAAAGGAGGGCGAGAACTGGCGGATGAAGAGCGTGACGTGGCATATTGAGGGCAGGGACCAAGGATGGGGCGGAGAACAGCAAGGTATTGTCCGCCCATGGCCTGTACGGCGACCTCCGTTTGATCCACAGTTGACCTCCTTACTGACTGAGATTGTACGAATAGGCACATTCCATGGCTCATACTCGTGGTACGAAGCATGCATCCTCCGGCCGATCGACTACGACCCCGAGACACTGAAGGCGCAAAGCGACCGCCTCGACGCCATCTTGTCGACCCACGATCTACACCGCACAACCGCAGACTTCGTCCCGATCGCCCAGCAAGCGGGATGGACTCTTGTGCCCGACGCCGAGGACAGATATGCCTGGCATGTTCAATCCAACAAGGTGGCAGAAGCCGCGTTCGAACGTTATGCAGTTGAATGGCGGGCTGGACAGTCGTTCGATACCCAGGATGCGGAGGAACATGGATACGGCAATGGGACGGGTTTTCTGCAGGCACTGCGGCCTGGGGACAGGGTAGGCTTAGTGATGAGAGCCCAGTACGGGGGCTGGGAGAACTTGTTGAGATATGCAGATGTCAAGCTGGTGTACGACGTGCGGTGACATGTTAAGGCGGCCTCGGAACTCTATGAGTATACCACAAGCCAACGGAGCACAGATAGATATGGGCTAATGCACAACAAATCGGATGCATTACAGAGTTCGTAACGAGAGAACGCACGTGCCATAACCAAGCCGCGACATACCACACATGCACTCTTACCGTACATGCCCCTCTGACGTCCCGCCATCGTTGCAGTCTACGAGTCATGTGTAGTAGTGCAGGCAGCTACCGTAGGTATAGTCTAGACGGGGATATAGATGGCTATACAACGAGCCGATGGGACCCGAAATTTTTATCTTCCTACAGCCGCGACAGGTCCCGTCCCCAGATACCCCTACCACACCGCCCCAATATCAGCAACGCAGCTCTATACACAGCAAACACCGAAAAGTAAACACGCACCGGACGACCCAGTCAATCATCAACAATGCCCTCGTGCGCATGCTGACCTGCTCGCTCCAGTACACGCTCCGCCACGCGTACATCGCCGCGAGCCCGCCCATGAAGCTGAACCGACCCAGGTCGAACACGGCTGCGTTGCCAATGTAGGCGAGCGAGCCGAGGTGGAAGTACCGGAACGGCTGCGCGACGAACTCGTCCGCGCCCTCGGGCCCGATGCCATTAGCCTGAAGGACGGGACTACGCTCGGCGACCTTGGAGAGCTTCTTTCCGAGGTACTTGCCTTGCTGCGAAGCGACTTGCGCGGTCTACAAACGTCAGATAGCTCAGCAAATGTACTGGAGTGTGTGCTGGTGGGGCGTACCGCGGGCAGCGCTGTGATCTTGTGACCGATCTCTTGGAGGAGGACCGCGAGCTCATTCAAGTTGAGGGAGTTATCCGCGTCCGAGTCGTACAGGTCGAACAGCTCGCGGACCTTCTGGAGCTGTCCCTCTGCCATCGGGATGCGCTTCTTGATGCGCGACACTATCCGCGTGGCCCCATGCATCATCAGCCCCTGAAGTCAAAGCCACTGCACAGAGACAGCAACATACCCATGATCTCCCACTCCTCAAAGTCAATCTTCCCGTCCTTGTTCTTGTCCGCCTCATCCACCAACTCCAACAGGTAACTCACAATCGACGTTTCGATTGTGCTCGCGTCGCCAATCGCATACACCGTGCCCAGCGGCGCGCCCTTCACCCGCAGATGCGCGTCGACCTCGATCGCCTTCTTGTGCACCTGGTTGGGCAGGAGATCTGACACGCGCTTGCTGAATGGGTTCATCGCGATGCCCGTCGACCAGAGCACAAAGTTGGTCGGGATCTCGTGCGTCTCGACCTTGCCATCCGCGGTCTTTTTGGTGTAGACCACCTTGTCAGGCTCGACGGAGGCAACGCGGGCGGAGGTGACGAGGTCGATGTGGTCGTGCAAGAACTTGTCCTCAGCGTACTTGGAGATGGCCTCCGAGTACTGGAGCAGCGCGTGCTGAGTTGTTGGTCTGAGCACATAGCAAATGGGGACATACCGTGTTTAGGATATGCTCACGACTCTGGATCACATGAATGGAGATGTCTTTTCTGCAGATCTTCGGGAACTGCAAGCGAGATGATGCTCAGAGGACGTCGCAAGCATTGCTCAAAGGGACATAGTTACGTAGTTGAAGATGTCCTCCTGGCACAGGTCGTAGATCTCGGCAGCCGTCTCCACGCCCGTCGGGCCACCACCACAAACGACGAAACTGAGCAGTCGCTTCCGCTCCTCAGGACTGGTTGTGGGCAGTGAAGCCGCTTCGAAGTTGTCTGTTATCCGAGACACGCTTCATGAGACCCATGAAAACCCATCGAAAGCCTGCTACACGTACCAATGACCCGTTTGCGGATAGCCTGCGCGTCGCCGACTGTCTTCAGCTGATAGCAGTGCTCCAGCCCTGGGACCCCATGTGTGCTTGAGGTCGATCCGACGGCAATGATGAGCTTGTCATACCTGAGCAGTGAGGTATGCACACATCTTCAGCGGATGGCAAGGCAAACTGCAACGAATACGGGACACACGGGATGTACATGCGGGTGGGTTGCGAGCCGGCAGGAACGACGGTCTCCACCTCGACCAGGCGCTCAGACATGACGAGATCGACGGCACGGGCATTGATGAGGTGACCGTGTACGCGGGCGAGGATCTTCCGGAGGGGTTCCACAAGGGAACGGACGGAGACTGTCCCGACCGCCGCAGCTTTTCGGGGAGGTCACAGTGAGTAGGGTGTTAGGCGTGAGACTGTACTGCAGCTCACATGGGAGTAGGGGGGTGAACGTTGTGTATGTTTCGGGAGAAATGACCGTGACGTGGTAGTCTCCGGGGTTGAGTTTGTCGATGACACCCACCGCCTATGTGGCCAGAAACACGCGTCAGAGGGTGCGTTTGCTTAATGTTGAGTAGATCACGTACGCCCCAACCACCGCCGACTATCACTAAGTGAGGCTTCTCCGAGAGTGCGCGGTTCTCCTCGTCTTCGTAGTCGCTCAGAAGGCGCGAGACGATGGGTAGATTCTTGGGACCTCCGCGCTCGGGTGCAAGGGCGCGCGGCGCGACGGGAACACGATCGACGTTCTAACAAACCGTTTGAGGGGGAGTGCGTAGACGAGTGTTGGGAATACTCACGCGTTCCTGATAGGTGAAAGCATCGTGGAGGAAAATAGCACCTGTCAGAACGAAGCAGCCGACCAAAGTCGAGCCAGCAAGGTAGAATGTATATCGTGCGAACGTGCGAAATCGCCTGAAAAGAAGGGGAGCCTCCGTTGACGTGTTGGCTGTTGCATAGGTTCGTACGGTGGGGTATCCAGTGAGTGCAAGACGGGCGTAAGTCTGAGGAGGTAGCCTGTAGAGAGCCGAGCGCTGCAGGCCCAGTCTCATGGTGGCGGGCACTGTCCGTCGGAGCATGGCCGAGGATGATGCGAGGGACGAGCAAGTGAATGCCCGTCGATGTCGTCGAAGTTGTCTGTGGTGGGGGAAGACAAGAGAGCCCAACGGTGGGCGTCGTGCGCGCGACGAGCAGCCCGCGCCCGACGGTAGCGAACATGGATGATGTCACCACGCCTCTCCGGACCGTCGATCAGTGCCTGCCTTCCACCACTCTTGTCCTCACAACCACCAGGCCTTGATATTCAATGCCCGGAACTTGCTTGTTTGCATCACAGACTGACATGTAGTGGCGACCATCCTAGTCTTCAATCTCGTATTGCAGCCAACACGCGACCCATGCAGGCCCATGGAGTAGACATCATGACAAGCACGCTCTGACAAATCCGTCGACACGCGAACCATCTTATATTCGGATTGCTGGATGTTTCTCCCTTAGTTTTTGGATTACGACCCGCGGCGTCCATTCGGAAGGTACGTGAATGGTCAGACCACCGGCTAGTAAGTGTGTCCCATCTGCAGGTATTCCGTCCTCAAGCGGCAGGTCGCCGCAGATGACATGACCACACCGATGACTTTGCCAAGGCTAGAACATGTTCGCGTTCAGCGGTCGAGCGTAGGGAGTACCAGGCTGAGATGGAGTATTGGCGAGTCGCTGGACCAGACCGGCCTTTAAGGTAGGTTCCATCATTCAACGTTCAACGTTCAGCTGGCATCGGCAAATTTGTCGTTTTGAATCCAATTCGTTGCTGAAGCACCTTCTAATAGGTACTTGTCAATGTAACCATTCACTGATTGTCTACCGTCCGTATATATACGCCGTCTTTTCAGTGTTCAATCGTCCCTACGGTCGTGGTCCATGCATGTGAGCCCGGAGCAGCATCAGCTCGAGTGTTGCGTCTCCGCGACCCTCTGCCTCAATTGACGGTGTTCGAGCTTTGCACAACCTTGCTGCCCCCGCACTGGAACGTCCTCGCTCTGCCAAGTGCTTCGGCCTTGAGCCAGCCTGCAGCTCGCCGGATGCTTACTTCGCTATCGGGACGCCACACACACGCCTGCACGCCCCGGTTGCACCGCTGCGATTGTGCGACTGTGTCTTGCTTTGAAAGCTATGTCCCGGTAAGTGGCCGGAACAGAACTCTGAGAGCGACGGCCGTGGGCGGGAGTCAGCGGAGAACGTAGAGGGGACCGATAATGTATATTCATCTGGCGAGGAATATGTGAAAGGGGGGGTCCAAGGTAAGTAAGCATCCCTACTAACATGAGGCAGTCGACAGCAGCGCAACCTACTGCACAACCGATACTTAGTCGGTCTCTGATTAGGCGGATTGCAGACATCTTGTCGGCACCGGCCTAACGCCAAACATTGCTGAATTCTTCGTCATGTCGATGTCATGAAAAGCCTGTCACAGAAGTCGGCGCTCGCTGCTGCACACCAGTCGTCTTCTGGCATATATGTCAGCAGCTCACATTTGCTGCTCGCTTCTATGTCCCGGACGTCTCGCTGTGACCCCATGAACATTTAATTGAAACGTACCGCATCACGCATAAGTACGATTGACTACATACGACATCACACCGTTACGATCCCACCTGACCATCAGGCCTCTCAACCCGCTCAACCCGCTCAACCCGCTCCTTGACGGGTTGGGAAGAAAAGCCCCCGAGCAGCCCACGCTCGGGACACTCGGCTTCGTGATCTAGCGACAGCCATCAGCCGGCAGGAGCTGGACGCCTCGGACGTACTGCCTTCGGACAGCGACACACACACGCATGGAGACGACGGAATGGGGAAATGGGAATGGGAGTGCGGGATCATAGATGAGCACTAGTACTGCGCCGTGCAATTCCTCTGATGCTTCGGTGACAATCCCCAGTCCCAGCGCAGCCCTACATGCCCGATGACGAGTCCGCGGTGCCACGCCTCCTGGGAGACGTTCGCAGATCGTGCTGGGAGGCAGCTGTCACTGCAGGGGGCTGGGCAGTACGGGCGGCGTCGAGGATCTTGAGTATGTCAATGGAGTAATGGCAGGAAGAAGATTGGCACACTATTCGGAGATGATTTGCACGCAGCATCGAACAGGAGGCAGTGACCCAACCTGATCGTCAGTGCGCCCAGCGACAGTGGCTAGACATGATGCTGCGCCCATGTCTTTTTTCGCGCATCGCAACACAAAATAACTCTCCGCCTCTCCAAACACGCAACATCTCCTGGCGTTCAAACCAATCCCTTGTATTGCCTTTTGTACCAGCGGCACATCGTTGACATGAGGCTACTTGTGAAGAAATGTCCACGCCCTGCGCGTCGCGCGGGGCTCAAAGCTAACTTGTAGTAAACAATGCGTTGTGTCGCTCGTATGTCATGAAGTGTCCTCGGAACCCAGTAAGATACGCAAATTCACTAATAACGATAAGCCCCCACATCCCTTCTCGGCCAGCCCTAAGCGTGCAGCACCCGATTAGAGCGGGGGAGCAAGGCTCATCAGGGAGCTTAGAGGAGGAGACCGAGAGAGAGACCGGCGAGCGACAGGAGGGTCACGCCGGAGAACGAGAGCGCACTGGCACCGTTACCCGCCGTACCAGCCGCCGATGGCGACGGGGTCGAGCCGGAAGCAGCTGCAGTACCAACGGCACCACCAGTTGAACCACTGGCACTCGATGCAGGGGCGCCGGTGGAGCCCGTGGTACCGTTGGCTGGAGCGGGCGATCCGTTCACGGCGACCGACTGCGCGGCGTTGGCCTTGAAGGCGTCATACGTCTTCGCAGCGGTGGGGTTAACGGCGAAGACCATACCGGCCTGGCAGTGCCTGTGATACGTCAATGTCAACGGTTTGCAAAGGGATCGACGAGCTGCGCGATTGCGGTAGAAACGTACGTAGCCTGACGGCAGAAGAACCAGAGCGGAGCCGAAGCGTTGTTGACGGTGATTTGCCAGACAGGGAATTGCGTCGCGCCGGCTGGGACGAACTGGAAGCCAGAATCAACGCCGGTCACGGCGCCGGTCGCATCGGTGATGTTGGAGCAGGGGGCAGCGAAAGTAGACTGGGTGACGGTGTGGTTCTTGTCCAAGAACTGGAACTGAATGACATCCCCGTTGGCGACACCAGTGAGCCTGCATGGGCCTTAGTGATTCGGCTAGCGGCGATCTATCAGGACGAGAACGTACTGGTTGGGGGTGTAGGTGAGGGATGCATTCCCGCCGACCTTGACGACATGGGTAGTCTGGGCGAGGGCGACACCGACGGGCAGGAGAGCAGCAGCGACAGTGAAGAAACGCATCTTGAACTTGATTGGGCGAGGAGACAAAGAGCGGACAAGAGTTCAAGTAGAGTTAGCAAAGGACGAAGTAACCGACTCGAGACTATATATTTGCGAGATTGTCAGACATCGCATGAGATCGCGGGAGTAGAGAATTGGACGTACCCTGCTCGTGGTGCGCTGGTAGCAAAGAGGACTAGCTCGACAAGGGGGAAGGAAGATGGGGAATGATAGGACTGGTACGGGCTTTTATGGGCGGACACTGGGAGGTCGCCGTGGAAACAAGCTTACTCCGTTACACGGACCGTCAGGCACCGAAGCGCGGACCAATAGCACTCCGCCCGCTTGGTCCTCCGCCGCCTGGCGGGAAGCTCTCGAGTGCCATCAACAGCCATCAACCGCCTGCTATGTACAGATCATGCATCTCTGATCATGATACATACAAAATACAGCCCATACACTCCCTTTCCGGCTTGTCTCAACCTCCGACTCCAGCCCAACATCGGTTTCTCTGACGGTGAGCGGGCGACAAATTTAAAGGAGGTCGCTTCCCCAGAGTCTAAGCCCTTTGTGTCGCGATAAGCGATACATAGCCGAGGCCTTCGACATAGATTGCCTCACCCTTCTACTTAGCGTTTCCTGCTCTCCAAGACAACCAGTCATGGGCCAAGGTCCCGCCAAATTTGCGCCATCCCCCTGTCGACTCTGTACATACATACATGATATTTATCTCGCCATACCAGTCCAAAATGATCCGTTTCGGATAGGCAGACTCACGCGGAGGCCCACCCAGCTTGCAGCATCAGCAGCGCCTCAATGCAAAGCAAGTGTTTCTGAAAGAGAGCTCGGGCGCAGAGTTATCTGTGCATGGAGAAATATACTGAAGTCTCGAAATTGCTGCAATAAGGCGGTGGTCTATCGTCATCTGCAAAAACGCCAGGATGCGAAGATGTCGCCGCCAACTTCGCCGTACATCCGTACATGCATCTCCTCTGCCCAGCTGCTCACTTGTTCACAGGTCGAGTATGTATTGTTCGTCGGAGTGTGGGGATACTTGTTCCGCCTACTCGAAATTCCATCAGTGCCGCGGAACAGAGGGCCTTGTCCCCTCGGACGCCTGTGCGCGCGAGAAAATCTTTGGGTGTCAAGATAATCTCATGCTTTGCCCGATCGCTCTACATACCTGCAACAGTTTCACCGTGCAGGTCACTTTGTTCCACCCACCATCTTTCCCGGCAGGCGGACACGCTACACCTACACCAAGTGTGCCGGAGAGCTAGCCGTTGCGTTCAGGATGTTGGCAAGATAAAGAAACTGCTGGCCCGTCAACATCCCCCAGCTTGCGGTTGTCGTATCTTGTACACGCGTGCCACGAGTGGCATGAGATTCGTCGTGCCAAATGTACTTAGTGCATCGCCATGTCGTCGGACACTCCACCTAGACAACGCAGCCCATAACGTGCCCCACGCACGCGCGACAGTATTCTTTAAGCCCATCTGGTGCGCACATTGCCTTTTTATTCTCGAGCATCTATTTCTGTAAGATTTGACGAATGCCCGTCGTGTGGGAATGTTATTGTCAAAATACGCCATTCCGAATCGCGCAGCAGGCATATGGAGACGAACGGACTTCTTACAGCTAATGGTATCCAGCGGCAAGTTTATGATTTATAGCCACTACTGATGTAGGGCGGCTGCGATCGACCATGACTTGCAACTTCGCGATCCCGCTCGGGACTTTGGGGCTCGCGGGACGACGAGGCCGCCAAGGAGTCAGCAGTGGAAGTATGCGAGTCGTTCAGCGTTACTTTGAACTTAGCAGGTCGAAGAACGCTTCTTGTGGCAGGTCGATGCGCCCAACCCGCTTCATCTTGCGCTTCGATTCCTTTTGATTCTGGAGATGCTTGAGCTTGCGCTCGTAATGACCTGACAATCCACGCAGTAAGCACATGTGTTCCTAAACTTAGTGGACCTCCCAGGTATTTACCACCGTAGAGACCAGCGGTAACATCTGCCCGCAAGGCTGAAAGAGTCCTTCGTGCGATGATAGTGTTCCCAACTGCGGCCTGGATCGGGACCTCGAACAGCTGTCGTGGTATGATCTTGACTGCAGCAACCGTTAGTTGACGCTGTTCGCTTCCACTCAGAATATCAATATAACGCACAAAGCTTCTCCACCCAGTATCTACCGGTCTCATCGACAGCCTTCGCATGGACGATCAATGCGAGAGCGTCAACGGGTTTGTGATTGAGCAGAAATGTCATCTACAACAAGACGCGATTCAAGGACCGCAATCAGTCACCAGTTAGAAGGCACTGAGACAGACAGTAGAACGAAGTCCAACTCACCTTGCGCAGGTCGCTTTTCTGGTATCCCGCATCCTCATAACTGTATTTCCGGTGCGAAAGTTGAGCAACACAAGGTTAGCCCATCAACATCATACCCTCGATGAAGCATCCCGATAACGCGGGAACGAATGTGACAGGAGCCGAAAGGAAAAGCACCGAGCACTCACTCGAAGCTGGCGAAGCCAGAGCTGCGGCTCTTGAGCTTGTCGAAGAAGCCCGTCACAATCTCGGCCAGGGGCAGTGTGACGCTCATGAGCACTCGATTGGACATCGCCTCGCCCCCGTCGGCCTGCCCCGGAGCCTCCATGGACTGCCAGTCGAGGTCCGTCCCACGGTGCTCGAAGCACAAGTCCATCATTGCACTGAAGTACTCTGCTTGACATGGAATCGTCCCCACGTGAATGGGGAACAATGCGTCAAAGAGAAGCACCGAAGACGGAACGCCGGCAACCCAAGCCGTCAATGTAGAAATGGCAATGTGGATATAAGAAGCGAAGCCAAAGTGCAATGGACGAGAAGGAAAAGCAGAAGCAGGAGAGATATGAGTATCGCGTGGGGAGGCAGAAGCGATGAATGACGCGAAAGACGCACTTTCTGGAACGATGATGGAGGCCTTCACGATCGGTTCGAGGACGTCCTTCACTCGGCCGCCGCTGGCGAACTCGGAGGGGTCTGGGAATTCGGTGGGATTGCTAATGAGCGACGTTCTCCCGTCCCTATGAACAACTAGGACGGTGAATCACCTATGTTTAACACACGCATACTTAACTGAAGGGGATCAGGATGGACACGCACTTTGGTAGGGCACGGTGGGCGCGGTGATGATGACGTTTGCATCGTACTCGTCCTCGAGGCGTTGGCGGAAGACGTCCATGTGTAGGGTCCCGAGGAATCCCAGGCGGCAGCCCTGCCCGAGGGCGGACGAGGTTTCGCGTGTGACTTCGACGCTGCGATCAGTAAGGCTGAGCTGCGAACGGGCAATTGGTAGGCGTAAGTACCAGAATGGGAACGGGAACGTGTGAGATAGATGGCCGCGAACGCACTCTCTTGATGGACTCTTCTAGCTTCAGGAAGTCGCTGCTGTCTACTGGGTAAATTCCTGCGTAAACCTTCAAGCAAGGTTAGCTCTGCGTGGCGCTGCATTGCACGTCCCGGTGGCTGAAGACGCTTGCCATTGCTTTAGCTGGCTTGAAGCCGGGCATAGGCTCTACTGGTTGACCCACGCAATGGAAGGTATCGCCTATGTGAGCTAGCAGAGAAGGGGTATCAGAGACACGCAAAAATACATCACGATATTCTTAACCTTCTCCGGACTCTTTCATACTGCACGCGACGAAACCGACTTGGCCCGGTCGCAAGCAGTCCGTAAGCACCTCCTCTGGGTACATGATCCCTAGTTCTGCAACCTCGTACTTTTTCCGCGTATGACATGAGGCTATCCTATCCCCTGATCGGTCCGTAAGTAGACCGTTTATTCCTGGTACTGTAGAGGACGTGTCCCAACCTTTCCGGAGTACGCCCCCCTGGATGCTCATTAAGGAGATGACACCTCGATAACGATCGTACCTGCAAGCATGTATGTTACAGTAAGACGTAAAGTCAATACCGAGGTACTCACGATGAGTCGAAAAGGAAGCCCTTCAAGGGAGCGGACGGGTCGCCGACGGGAGGTGGGATCCGATTGACTATAGCTTGCAGCACCTTCTCGACCCCTTTTCCGGTCTTCGCGGATATCTGGATGACGTCGGAGGGATCGAGCCCGAACGTTGATTGCATTTGTAGCGCAACAATCTCCGGCTGGGCTGCGGGGAGATCAATCTACTCACAGTCATTAACACTTGCAGTACGGAGGGTCGATGGGCAGCAGACACATGCCTTATTGAGCACAGGAATGATAGTAAGTCCCTTCTCCCGCGCAACGTGGAACACGGATATTGACTGGGCCTGGACGCCTTGTGACGCATCGACGAGGAGCAGTGCTCCCTGGCACGCAGCAAGAGAACGAGCGACCTCCCACGAGAAGTCGACGTGGCCCTATTCTTGACAGTGAGTCCGAGGAAGCACAAGGGTCGGGTGGGTACGTACCGGTGTGTCAATCAGATTCAGGAGGTAATTTGTCCCATCCTTCTCATGGAACATGCTAACAGGACAGTAAGTTGCCGATCACAGACTTTACCTGAGGGAAATACCTGGCTGTCTGCGCTTTGACTTTGAGAGTGTCACTAATGACTGGTCGGTATTCATTCAAGCATGGCGCAGTAGCCTACCTGTGATTCCGCGTTCGCGCTCGACCTTCAATTTGTCTAGGACCTGCTGATTGAGGCCCTTATCTTTCTTGGTAATCGTGTTCGTTAACTGTGACAAGGTTCAAATCGGTAACATGTATGCAATATTAAGAGCCATACCTCCAATAGCCTGGTATAAGTGTCAGTGCATTGAAAGCACGCACGAGAAGTTGATTCACGTACCGATCCGCCAGAGTAGACTTGCCATGGTCTTACATCACGCCACATTTATACGTATAGAAGAAAGGGTATGCCTGAGCGACTCACCAATATGGGCTATAATGGAGAAATTCCTAACAAAGTATCTGAACACAAGAGCCAGAGCATATACCGCGTTCGGCACACCTTATGACCTCACAAGGATAATCTTCCATCCTAATGGCTGCCTTGGCAGGTGTTGCCTTTGGAGCTGCATAGCAAACGACCGTTGTTGTGAAGCTCTTCCCCTCGTACCGAACTAGGCATGGTCGGGCAATGTGCTTCTGGTGGCGGTCGAATACTTTCAAGCAGGCTTGCCGCCAACTCTGTAGCATGAGTCGCCGAGAGCTTCACCCGTCCTAGCGTGAACGGTCCCAATTGACGACAATTATAGAAACACAGTGAGAATAACAAGCACAGGGGATAAGTGGATGAGGAGGCGGGGACCGTCAGGCCGAGGTGGCCAATTCTCAAGATGGCATGAAGCGCGTCTGTGTGTTGTTGCTTAGTCAGCGACGCGTTGGACGCGAAACCGCCGGTGGTATGTACCAAACGTGCTCCCTGGTGCTAATACCCCCTCCACTTCCCTAAACCGCCTTTCTTCCCATACAAACATGTCTCTAGCGGATACTTCTGAGGCACGCAAGGCCCGCTTGATCGCACTTCGCAAGCGTAAGGCAGGAGAAGCCGTAGAGGGGGCTGGGTACGTGCTTGCACACGCTTGTACAGTATTCTCACTACTGATAAGTCGCTGGCCGTAGTGAAGGTGACGAGCCTGTCATCAAACACCGCACCTTTGATCCTGAGACAAGGACGCTGAAGAAACGCACAAATGACGACGACGTCCAAATGGAGGATACTGTGGAACACCGCGTCGACGGCTTGGCCGAGAAAATCATCGCGGAGGACGCGGAGAGGAGGGCGCAGGACTTAGTACGTGGCTTCTAGCTGTTTGCGAAGACCTTGGCGTCTCACACGCCCGACTGTGCAGGACCTGTTCAACATTGCGCCAAAACGTCCAAACTGGGACCTAAAGCGCGAGCTGGATAGGAAACTTGCCAAGCTCGAGCGCAAGACACAGGAGTCAATACATACCCTTATCCGTGCGTTTCCCGGTCCCATTGCCCTGACTATTGTACGTATAGTCTCACACGATGATAATTGTGGCTCGGACAGGCCAACGACTAGCGGCCCAGAAAGGCCAGTCCGACGACATCGTTGGCGCGATGAACGCGCAGGAACGCGCCGGACAAAACGACGACTCGTCCGATGAGGACTGATGTTGCGCGATGGTGCTATCTACTGCTATACTCTCTCTCCCACGTGTTCACAATGTATGATGCGTTTACGTGTACCTGTATCCTTATTCTAACAGTGGCGCGGTGCCCATGCTGCTGTTCCGAGTTGTGGCAAGCGCGTTCGGAAAGCCGCGACGCGCCCGCGAGCGTAAGGCGCGCATGTGCCTGCCGGCTGAGGCAAAACGAGGGTTTAGTCTGACATATGCTACACGCTATACGAAACCACCCTACAGCCCGTAACATGTGAGTGATAGTCCCAGAGCGCTGTCACACACTGATGAATTGGCAAAATTGACTCCACGGTCCCTGGAGACGTCAAAACAAAACATCAACACCAGCCATACATCACTCGGCGAGCAGCGAACAGCCGTCCGCGCATGACAGAAGAGGATATCTTATCAAGACATCATAGAATAGGCCGCGAGTTCAGCATCTGAATCATCCGCTGGTCCTCCGCCATGCGCGGATTGGTGCGATGATGCGACCCTGAAAAATTCATTGGGGTGCTCACGATCGCAGAGTGGAGCGACGGCAGCACGACACCGTCCTTCTTTGCGCGGGACGATGATTGGAGGGGCGACGACGGCCGGGAAGATGGGCCTGCCGGTCCAGGTGTGGACGGCGGTGAGGGCAGTGCGGGCGTCGACGCGTCCGAGTTTCTTGAACGCGCCTTGCCACTTTTGTAGACTCCTGATGGGACCGAGATCGTGCTCAGGAGCGGGTCCTTGTCGACAGTGGGGATGTTCGGCAGGTCCGCGTATGTGAAGTACGCGGTGAGATGCCATTTCCTCGGCTTGGCGTTCACGGAGGTGAGGACCCACGCAGAGTACGCTTGCTTCACGAGCCCCATGGGGTGGTGATCGCTGCGCTCATAGTGCGACTGCGCAGAGGACGTCCACGTCCGTGAGGGTCCCTCCACGAAGCGGTATGTGCACCTGGGTATAAAATGACAGTGAGAAGGCAGGCACGATGCGCCCGGACTGTGAGAGTGCTCACTTGGTTTTAGGTTCGGAGGGGGGTTCATCTCCAAGCTTTTCGTCGTAGAACAGGTAAGGCTAATACGCGCCATATCGTCAATCAGAGGGCCGAAGAAAGCAGTAGGAGCAGCGGCAAACCTCGCGCATTCGGGACTGACTCCAGACGCGGCCATCGGTCCAGCGCTTGAGTCCCATCTCGTCGTCGCTCTCCTCCCAGACGAACAGCGAGCCCGAGGTAATATAAGTGGATCTCTCTAGCTCGTTCAGCCGTCGCATGACTGGCTTCAGCCGACCTTGCCGTACAGCTTCGAAGACGATGTGTGCGTCCCGAGCGTCACGGACATGCAGCCGTGGGTGGGTGGGGCGCTGGACGTCCTGAGCGGGGGCGTAGAACATCGTTGGAGCAACAAAGCACAGTGAGCCGAGGTGAAAAGCGCGTTTCGAGAGGACCCTCTGTTTGCTCCATCCTCGATATCGAAAGAGGAGGTTTATATTCGCAAGATAGACTAGGCACCCACGAGGATGCTGTAACACTTCCCGTGTTAGACCCCGCCCGAATCAGTGGACAGACCTCGCGCTTTCCCGCCTGAATCTCGATGCGGAGACGGGGGCTAGCGGAGTCTGAGAAAGCGTGGACAGGAGTCAATTATGTACACGAGCTTTTCCCGCGGGGTTGGCGCTGAGAATGGCAGCGAAATCGAATGCGACGTGCTCTCGTAATGCACCAGCTGGGAATGTGGACGCGACCAAATTTGCGGCTGGTGATAGCCAAAGAAGGCGAGCAGATGCTTCAGGAACAACTCTGTTTCAAGCCAAGGGAAGCGTAGTGTTCCTTGCGAGATCGGCTGGACCCATAAGGTGGGAGACGTACATGGGAGCCGACCGGCAAGTCAGTGACCTCCTTCCACGGTCCGCCTCCCAGCCTATGCAGTCTCGAGGATGTTCTCGAGTTCGGTCGAGGACTGAACAGACTTCACGTCTGCTTTTTCCGGTCTGCTTGGTTCGCCGTATGTGGATGTTCTCAGAGATAGCCCGACACAGTGGACTGCTTCCCAGAAAGGCGAAAGCCTCGCATCGACGACGCAAGGAACAATGACGCCCTTCTCATGAACTCACGAACGCCACTGTAGGAGGCGGGAGGTGGGGATCCATGCCTGCTGTGCACATGAAGTCAAGCGATATTAGCATGCTCCATACTGTACGAGTCTGTATGTTGCGGTGCATGACATATGGCAGGAGGGTTCCACGCCACAACCGGTCATAAAGAGGGCCTTCTCCCGTGTAGATGGCCCGCGCACGTTTCGAGCCTGGGACAGGGGATAGAATTGCTCGGCCATAGTTGTACACGCGGGCGTGCTGCGCGAGAGCTTCAGGAAGGCGAGCTTGGGTTCGGAAGAGTGCGACGGTGAAACGGGCTCGCCTAGGAGTTTCCGTATCAATTGACAGCTGCAGCTGCGACGGGAATGCGGCTGAGCCGTCAAGCGTCCATGGGCCGCGATTGCGCCCGTATCCTCGGGAGAAGGCGCAGACGAATCGCGAGAATGGAATTCGAGGCTTCACACACCTGCTAGCATCGGGACAGGGCGCGAGGCGGGCGTGTAGGCATGCATGCGAGACCGTACCGACAGACAGGGTGACAGGTCCGCACGGGCTGTGCGTAGGCGAGGCAGCATCCATGCCAAAGAACGTCAAGAAAGGTGGTAGAGTGTTGTCGTTTGGGGCTGGACAAAGTGCAAGGAGGGTCGAGATGAAGATCAAACCTCAAACTAAGCCGATTGTATCCAAAACGAGCACCTCCCGAGAAGCACCGCTCGTAAGGCGCCTGGGAAAGCGCTCGCGTGGCGTGGGCGGCTGTGCGAGATCTCGGGTCGCCGCGGCGGTAGGAATCCAAGCCCAAGCCTCTGAGTACGAGTCCTCCTCTAGCCATCTCTCACACTTCTCCTCAGCCACTCCTTCTGTCCAGCATCTCTGCAGCCACCATGTCTTACGATATTGATTCCGGCGGCCGTCCTATCCCCACTCTTGTTCAGTACTGTCAACGCGGTGAGGACAATCCCCAGGAACCCCGACCGTGCCGTACCCTGACCGACCTACCGTAGTCGCCTCCGCCAACGTCGAGAGTATGTGTATATCTAGGTATATCTCCTGTGAAGGCCCGAAATGAACGACTATGCTCCACACTGTATCAGGTATCTGCAGCCTAGGCGAAGGTTGGCGCAACGATCTCATCAGGCCTGTGCTGGAGAGCTGCACCCCAGAAACGCTTCAGAGATTCGAGCACGCGGACCCAGTACGTGCGATCTCTGCCTCCTGGATGGAAGCAGAAGAGTTGACGTGTCTACCTTTCAGTACATCGCGAACGACACTCAAGGTGCGTGTAGCAATGCCTCCGACCACGGTTCTCATGACGGTCCAAACTGACATCCTCTCCCGGGCGCGTCCTCGGCAGACATCTGGAAGAGGCTCTTCCTCAAGGAATTCCCCATAGCGGCTCACCAGTACGAATCAAATGCCCTGGAAGAGCCCGAGTCGTGGAGGGACGAGCTCTTCGTGCGTTCTCCGTTGCCTGATTGCTCCCACTATCAATAGCCCAGAACTCTTCTCTTCCACCAGGCTCTGCGTGATCGAGAGCACGCGAAACTGAATGCACTATCCAATAGACTCAAAGCCTCGCGTCAAGAGGAGGAAGAACGCAAGAGAGAGTCCGCTATCAAACTCACTGACAAAGTCCCCCCGGCAAAGCGGTCCCGTCCCTGTGAGTGACCAAAGAAGCCGTGCCATATGGCTACACCGGCTAACGGAGCAAACAAAGGGGGTGCGCCTTCCCAACCCAAGACCCTTTTCCAGAAGACAAGGACGGAAGCATCACGCTTGAGTAAAGGCGTTTTCGGCTCGCGTATTACTCGGCCAGCGTTTCAGACCCGGAGGATCGTGCCCAGTACTGCAAGTGCTAAACCGCCGCCACCCTCTCGGACGGCATCCTCCGTCAAGGCACTCAGCAGTGCGCAGCCGAGTGGCTCGCGCGTAGTCGTAAGGAGTGTTCCCGTCGTGCACACACCGCCGCCACCTTCCAAGCAGGCGTCGCCAATGCTGACCGAATCAGCAAGTGCTATCCCAACAACGTCCGACGTCTTTTCTATAATTGCTTCGCCTCCACCTATCGCATCATCACCCTCGCCTTCAAGTAGTCCCCCACAAACGTTGTGGTCGCCGATGCCTCAACTGCAAATACAATCTCCCGAGGCTCGTTCGCCGCCTTCTCGGGCGCCAGGAAAGAAGAATCCAGGGGCGTCGCTGTTCATGCCCAAGCACCGAGCTTACTCGCAGCTTCCGCGTGGTGTACAGTCAAAGTCATAGACCTGCACAACGTCAACGCTTTGTCGATTATTGCTATCTCCACTTAGAATCCACTCTGCAACCGATTAGTCGCTCGCTCTCGTTCGCATCCCTTCTGTATACCATCAACCATGTCACATTGTCATCCCGACGCTATCATACGGCACCCGTTTTCGTGACGCTTTCCAGCCTTCATCACATCCAGCTAGCCATCTTGGGTCATTGTTCCAACGTATTCATCAGGGAACCTACAGGAAGTGTACTGTACTGCACATGTTCATCACATGTAGTTTTCTTTCAGCTGCCACCCCACCCGGCGAGCTTCTGATCGGTGGCGTTCTTGGGCCACCGCCTCGCTGTCAACGCTCGTCCGACCCGGATGTTCCCAAGCCCAGCGAAGCTATCTGCCTCCTTGTTGAGTACCTCGAACCTCGTTCTCGCTGTCCGATGGCGAGCTGCAGTCTCGGCATGCTCTGGCACCCAGTCGAACTCAAGCTTCTGTAAGCACTTGCCAGGAAACGGCAAGTACGTTCACATTGCCCTCAGCCTAGCCTCGGCAGCCGGCATCCGCTCTTGGGTCGCAATAGAATCTAGCGAGAACGCATTGACCGATCCGGTAAGAGGGACAGTAAACGCCCCTTCCCGTTTCCACATTCCGTAAGGCAGAAGCAAGCACACGTACTTTCAAGGTTTCCGACGCACTTCAGACTGGTACACGGCCTACGTAGTGCACGCACGTTGCGTCCTTCGACTTGGCGGCCAATTCCGATTGCCTGCTTCTGCCCTAAGGGTATACAGGCGCGATGAGACACATGTGGGGCCGACCGACAGGTGTACGTGCGGTGTCAGTGGACCATTGGCTGGCGGTGATGCCTGTGCGAGGACATCTACCAAGTCGCCGAGCGGGACGACCCTGAGATGCTGGTAGGACAAGCATCAGACGATGTCCATACGATGTGAGTTGATGCGTCCCCAGCTGTGCTTCCAAGATTGACTTCCTCACTCGCCTTCCCTGCCTCAGGCAGGCTCCGCTCCCACTTCGATTCTGCTACTTTGTCAGCCTGACCTCTACGCTTCCCGGGCCCGTCGTCCCCGCGCCAACGTCCGGGGCACTGTATCCGCAGGCCTGTGACTTTGAGGGGTCAGTACGTACGTGCGTCCCCGGTGCGAAAGCGCCGTCTCCAAACTCGAGCTCGAGTCCAGTCGATCGGAGCACGCGCCGTTGGGCACGTTAGGGACGCTCGACACCACTCTCACCGACGGGCGGCGCAGCAGGGCACTTCTCACGTCTCGGCCGCGCATGCTCCACACGTCCACGCCTGCAGCCTTTGAGACCCGCACCACGCGCCGCTCACAGCGTGAGGACGCGTCCGTGAGACGTACGGGTGAGGTGGGACGATAGGCGAGAGTGAGAGAGCACGAGATAGGGGCAGCACCGACGCCGGGGATATGAGTGCGCCCAGTGGCGGCCACGCCCGACTGACTACACACAGGACGCTATACACGCATGTCTAGATGTCAAATTCCCGACGCTGGAGCAAAGGAAGCGAGCAAGGACACAATACAGGCTCAGCGCAGATTAGCTCCGCCGTTGCTATTTACATAGACACGCCCTTTCCGGTGCTAGAGCACCTACATAGTGGCGAAGACTGGGCGGGCTTGGAAGGGGCCGAGGCGCTGCAAGGGTGCCTCGTCGAAGCGGGAGCCAGGCACGAGGGTTGGAATGACACTCAAGGGAGAGCGGTTGCAAGCATGTGAACGTAGCTGCCTTTCCTCGATAGTTGGATACTTGGTGAAGGAAATTCCTGAGAAAGGATCTCTGGTGAAGAAGCGGGTCCGCCAAGCCCGAGCGGAGCGCCGCGACTCGCTCACCTAAAACGCGCCAAAGACACACTCCATGAGCTGGAATTCCCGGGTGCACTGACACGAGGTGAGGACTCACACGGAGCTATTTGGAGAGGAGAGAGGACGCGGGGGCGGGCATAGCAAGTGGTTCGATTTTTTAAGGCGATGGTCGTGATTGGAACTTGCCGCTGTACCGGGCGTGGTGGCAGTTCGGAAAAGGGAACAGGGAAGCTTGGGGACAAGATCGACGTCAGCCGGTTGGCCGCCCGCGCTAGCCAGGACTTCGTTGTGCCTTGACTATGCGCAGAGTGTTTTGTATGCATCAGCGGCCTCCTCTTAACTCGCATAGACTATGGAAGAGTAGAAATACGGAAAGGTTAATCCGCTCTAGTCTTGGTCCGACGAGAAAGGCACGAACCATGCGTCCCACGGGTGTTCGCGGCGGAGTGTCCGATCATCCCAGGATATGTTCTTGGTGGATAGGGGCCGATTTGTCATAACGTGCCTCCACATATCATCGTCGAGAGCCTCAAGGCCGTCAATTCGCACGGCTGCGCGACTGTGTCTTGAGCATGGCAAAGTCCTGGCGGCGGGTACTGAAGTGCTTGAAGGCATCCTACCATTGGTATGCTTTGGGTACTGCATGGAAGTTGCGTTAGCTTGAAAGAGATGGTGTCGCAGAAGCTCATTCAATGAAAACACGCTCATTTCCTGGTGTGAATGAATTACCTGCCCGACAACCTATGCAGATCCAGAGGCAGACTCCTCTGTATCTAGTACTAGATCGTGGTTATTGACCAAGGGCGCTCTGTCGAGTCCACAAGAATAGAAAATTCAGCCATCGAGTCTCCAGCTACACTAATGAACGCCATCGTGTCGGTTCGCGGATGGGACGCCGTACGACCGAAGAGCACCGAGCCGAACATCGTGGTTTAGAGCCAAGTTGACGCGGGCGCTCGTAGTGCGTCAGGTCACAACATACCGCCGAATCATAACACGCTTGCTCATGTCACGCCGGGCGGGCCTTTTTGGCGCGGAATTCCATGCGTAAGATCCTAAGACTTCATACAAGCATTTCTGATGGTGAGCTATGTCATCTCATATAGAGACTACCAAAACCATGTCTACTATCCTGCCCCTTCCTCTGGCAGGCCCCGACTCCCACCCTGCTCTTTTGAACTTGCGTCTACGACAGTCAGTCGACCGAAGCATCCGGGTAGTCTGCATACCGACATTGCCGCAGAAAAGCCTCAAGGCCCTTCAACATTCAAGAGCACCCCTGCACTGACATATAGCCGAGAATCAGGCACAAGACGGTACATATACATATACATGAAACGGTAAGAGTCGAATTTTATAACTACGAGACATAGACAGACAGAGACCTTTCCGACAGGGAGATTTAGTGCTGCCGAGCGGGGTTCTCTTCGGATAATTCTGCGGAAGTGAACCTCAAAAAGAAGGTTGGGCATTGCAGCCTACGGTTCTCAGCCGAGCATCGACTCGTTCTAGCTCCTGAAAGTGCTCACTGCCTTGAGGCAGAGAAGGATCCCTCCATTTCAAGACATCAGATACATGGCATCCCTCAGTGCCACCGAAACCGTAGCTGACCACTGCCCAGATGTTCGGTCGGAAACGCCCGCTGCTCTGACGGCGGCTTAGCTCAAATACGAGCGCTCGAATTAAGGATGGTTATGAACCTTCAGCTACACTCAATAACACTCCCAGCGCTTGGAGGCGGAGATATCAATGCTCTATGCCCAGACTGTCATATATTTGCCAGAGAGTTAGGCAGTTGGCCCGGTAAAGGCCTCACTGAGAAACGATATGTGCTTCGGGAAGTCCATATTTCATGGATTAGGTGATAGACTTCTAATTATATGTACATCTTGGTAGTATACAGTGCTTTGCTCGCAATATGACACCCGATTATGACCGTGTAGTGTGTAGTCTGGTCTGCGGGAACAATACTTCGATATAACACTATTCATACGTTGCGAACTCTCCTGCATCAGTTCTCATGGGATGAATATTGTAATCAAGGATACTTTACCTGCTCTCTATTAAGCCGATCAAGATCATAAATTTTCAACAGAGTCGCCGACGTAGAGAGATGAGGCTATTCATTCCTTCGAAGATAGAAAGGATGACGGGCGCTTCTATAGATGGACCAGCCACCGCGGTCCCGTGACCGGCGTACGCGTCGCGCCACCGTGCCACACCCAGACCACGTCGTGTCGTGTGCATACGCATGATATTTCAGTGCTCAGCATCCGACGAGCCAACGGCTGTGCTTGAAAGATATGTGCAGCAGCTCATGAGGTACATAGATACATATTATACAATCCGTTTGCCTTTGTTGTTCAAATGCGATCTTTATCGTATGCAGTCTAAGTGCGGCAATGAAGGCGGATGAACTCCGATGAGACAGCGAGTGGTGTAAGACGATCATGAAGAGTGGAAACAATAACGGTTGTGATGCCTGATGAGGGGAAATTTGACTGATATTATGAGTGGTAGGTGTCGAGGGCGTTGCAAAGAAGGGGCTCCATCATGATCAGAAACAGCACGGAAATCATGCAATGAGTTGCGAGGCGGTTTGCGTAGATGATGGATGGTAAACGTATGGAATAGTGAGGGCCTGGCAAAATGCCGGGTAAGACAATCTCCCCTAACGGCGGCGTAACGCAAAACAGGAATTAAATGCAAGCAGGTCCGTGGCGGGACGAAGTTCGTATACCATGCAAAGGGTTTCCATCCTGTTCATCAGAATAGCGCCGTCGTTGAGCCGAGTCCGTACCCGGGACCGCCCTCCGGATCCACTCCACGTCCCGACGTAGACGGCTCCGCGCCCACGGACGCCGACGCAGTACTCGAGCGGCTAGGCCCAGCGCCCGCGTCCCACCTGCCCTTACCCTTATCCTTGCCGTTCTCCAGCTCGTGGTCGGCCTCGTGCATATCGCATGGCTCGTCCGCAACAAGCAAGCTCGACTGTACTTCCGACGGAGGTGCCTCCCATATCCGGATGGTCTTGTCGTCCGAACACGATGCGAACATGCGCTCGTTGACCGGGTTCCACGCGACGGAGTTGACGGAGCCCTCCCCGTGACCTTCAAGGACCTCGAGCAGGGCGCCTGTGTCTCGGTGCCAGATATACACGTTCCCATCTGAGAACCCGAGCGTTGGAGGGTCAGAAGCAGGGCGGGTTGGGGTTCCCGGATGAACGAAACGTCCGAGTTTCCGGACGATGAATAAGCGAGCCGTTATGTGATGGATGGATCGAGAATAGTTATCGCGTTGGTTGGAAACAAGGTTCGTGGTGTGCGAGTGTAATCGGAGATATAGTCAGCGTGGTTCACAAAACAAGTCGCCGGAGGACGTACCTTCACTCCCACTGACGACGAAGTTCCCTTCGACGCCGCCGAAGCAGCTCCGAATGACATGCTTTGATTGGCTATGGCCGGAGTACTTCCGCACGACCTGCTCCGACGCAAGGTCAAGCAGATGGATCTCCTGTGTGTGCGAGTGGTCTTGCGTCAGCTCTCCCATTTTGTCACCCCGACTGCGCTCATGCACTAGCGTGCCTGACTATCAACGCGTGGACCATGCACACGTACCGCTGGAGGCCCATTCTCGGATGCGCGGTTTATCAGTGCATACTGGGAATCCTGAGATATCTTCACGCTTGTGAGCTCGCCATCCAGTCGAATGTACCTGTACGTTCCCATCCCTGCAGTCAGCACGCGATCCTCACGCAACGTCTCGCTTGGCGGCGATCCGTGTGGACTGTATCAGGTACGCACGTTTCAGCCTGTTTCGTGTGTAGATCGTAGATGATGATCCGTGTCTCTGAGGAACTCTTGTTCGCGTTCGCCGCCGCATTCTGCGCTTGGCCCGAACCCGCTGGCGTCACAGACTCTTGTGGATTAGAGCCTGGTTGTATAGAAGGCATGTCGTACATCCCAACAGCAACGAGCCGTGTGAAGTCCGGAGTGACTATGAGATCGGTTACCCGGATGGGCGTCCGCTCCCACTTATCTCTCATTTTTCCATCCGCGTCCTGATAAGAGCGTGACGAAAAGTGATTCAGGTACCGCAGCCGTTAACGGGGTGTCCTCTACTGTGGAATATGAAGCAACATGAAACGCACCCATAGGATGATCTTGCGATCGAGTCCCCCCGAGATAAAGCCCGAACCGTCGGGTAGCCACGCTAGTGCTGTTACCACGTCTGTATGTTGGTTGAGCACCCGTGTACAGTCGCCTGTCTGCGGATTTGAACATGTCGTGTGAGCAGTCGGATTCAAACCGGAGCCGGCGTGAGACCCACTCGTGTATTCCATAGCCTTATGAAATGTTCCGCGGCCGTCAGGAGTATTGAGTCGTCTAATGACCATGCCACGCAGCCGACGGGGTATGGATGGTCCCGTAGAACAAATTCTGGTGAGTAAGCTCTTGACCGCGCGTCCTTGTCAAGCTGCAATAGACGGATTAGGTCAGCTCTTATGTCGGCAACTTACTTGCGTGGTCCAGATATACCTCTATACGCCATATGATCGCTGTTTTGTCTTTGCTTGCTGTCGCTAGATAGCGTCCACTATGGCTCCACTCAAGATTCCATACCTCGTCGGAATGTACCTGGAGGACGGCAGTTGTAACACGCGGGAACGTGTTACGGTCGCAGGAGTGGTCTGTGTATAACGAGTAGGACCAATTCGTGAGGGGCGTGTTGTGGTACAGGCACTGGCTTTGTTGGTAAGCCCGCGCTTGCTCAAGTAGTGTCGCGATCCGCCGTTGAGGGATCATAACGGAAGATGGGATATAGCCTTCCACGGATACAGAGTTGAGCGTGACAGACTGACGGTCGAAGAGGGCGCACGTACGTTGCAATTCCGTCAGTAGGCGTCTCCGCGATGTGCCCGCCGCTCCATCCCAGCCGATTTGTTGTCGCAAGTCCGCGGGATCCGAACACATCATCAGACTGCCGAAGAAGGAAGGCGAATAAGAACAGAGTTAATGGACGGATACAGTGCAGTATGTAAGATCACATACGCCGACAATGCATGGAGATGATCCAGTTCCGGGTTGAGAGGTGCTAGTTCGTTCCGCAGGACATGCAACGCTGCTGTAGTCTTGCCAGCTTCAAGGGATTCCAAGTATTTCTGCTTCGCAATGAGGAATTTGGCCTCCTGTACTTACTGTCAGACGAGTCGCCACCGAACCCACATCCATGAGGCTCACCCATAACCCCTCCCCCTCCGTGACACCTAATCTCATGAGCGCAGCTTCCGCAGAGTCCCATGACGCAGTGAGTATGCATCGTCGGAATTCGGCTACCTCTGGCGTCTCCATGATGTACCCGGACTCCGCTTCGAGGGTTGTTGCCGACTCGCTGCACAAATGCATCCCGTCGTTGAACGGAGGACGGAATCACGACAGAACGGAAAGAACTTACGTGTAGCCCACATCCCGTAGACTCTGTATGACCAACCGGACAAACTCCTCCCTATCGACGAAGGAGTCGTCATAGAGCGTTCTCCCCGGTATTGACACCTTCGCCACGGATGATCTGTGCTTCTCCGGTGCGATACCGTCCAACAAACCCGACGACGCAAGCTTGGACACCCCGTTTGTGTAAGGCTGTGAGAATCCATTGGTCTTCGCCACAGCGGCTTTGTAACCGTTGGAAGGCCCCGCTGCGGACGAACTGGGGCCAGCCTCGGGTTGCGAGTCTGGTGAGACAGACAAAGCAGAGTCCCTATCACTCTCCGTAAGCCTCATAGCAGCGAGTTGAGAACGGCCAAATGGGGTGGAAGTAGAAAAGGCAGCGGAATCAGCGGGAACTAAGGCGTGCTCGGTGGACGCAAGCGAACTGGAGGGGGAGGTCGCGTCGCTATCTACTCTTTGTCTCTTGCGAGCACGGGAGAGTTCTGAGTCTGCGTCAATCGAGTGTGAGGTGCTGAGTGAAGACCGGAGGATGCCAGAGGACGATGGGTGAAGGTAGGGTACAGGAATGGAGGAAGAGGAAGCGGAGGCCGGGGCGTACTCGGCAGAGCGGGCGTCGGCGTCGCCCTCTTCGAGCTCAGACCTCGTGCGGGTGTGCGGAACTGTGCTGGCGGGACTGGGGGGGTGGGGAGTCCTTAACGTCGGAGACGAGTTGTTCAAGGGCACGAAAGCGAAGGCGGAATGGAGGGATGACTGGTCGGGTTCCAGTGTCGGGGTCTGGTGCGGCGTGCCGACCCGCGCTGGATTGGACTGGGTGCTTGAATCAATGGTGACGATGAATATTGCAGTAGGACGACGGGCACAGCAAGCAAAGCCTGATCGCGGGGACTGGGCTCGAGTAGACGATGGTCGTAGTGTCAGACGAAGTCAGACTGCAGCATGGCTCCTCGCCGTTGGCCTCCATCAGCAAGACCGCGGTCGGAGTAGCACTCAGCCACGCGTCTCTCTCCTCCCTCCCAACTTCTCCCCAATCCCCTCCCGCCTGCCAGATCCTCTAACACACCCTTATATATTATTCTCCCCTCGGAGCCCAGCCTTTGTGCCTCAATTGTGTGCCCCGACACCCCGTACTGACAGGATGCAGAGATATTCAAGATGCCCCGTCAATACGGCCCGATTCCAGCCAGCCCATCTCCTATCCTAAGCGTTATCGACGCCTGCAATCAACACTCCCCCCTTACACGCCCCCACTGTGCCGCGAGTGCCAAGTATGTGATCCAATGAAGGTCGCCACGGTGCCAATGCTCGCCTCAGCCCTTTCGGGGCCCTGGCAGAATCGCCGACATCACTACATTGGTTACTCTGCCCGAGGACCATTATAAGCCACCTCATTCTGGACGAATTGTGAGTGTCCCTTCCCTCCAGTCCGTTCTGCGGTCGAACAGTCAGCGTTCGCCTCGGCGTGGATCTTCCTCGTGCCACAGAAGCTCATGCGACTCATCCATCGATTGTAGCCGGCTGGCCAGTCCTGTCTCGCAGCCTGGGAGATTGATCACTACATTTGAAGCACCGGCTCCCCTCACCGCCTGGGATGTGGTGGAGGCATTATAGAAGCCTGAACATCGGATTCATTTCCAACTACCCAGGTCCGCAATACAGCTAAGTAGAAATGCATCCGTTCCGGCGCTTGTCAATATCAGGTGGCCCATCCGTTCCAAGACGTCCACCGGTGCTGAGAACGTCGCCGTTATAGTACTGTTATGACATCGCTGAAGGCCTACTCTCAAGAGCGCGTACTCGTCTTGACTATAGTGCCTGCTACACGTAGTGCTCGACTGCCCTTCGTGGGCCAACGCGTGTGGTGAGTAATACCTTATTCCTATCGTTCCCACCCCCAGCTGCTCTCCATGCCGCTGCGAAAGCTGGCCCCACCAGCTTGGCGCTGCTCAATATATGAGGCCTTCGAGGATGTCAGTTGGTGAAAGCGAACTGCAAATTATACCGGACCTTCCTCAAAAAGCAGTCCAGTGCTCATGCGCACGCGCTGATCCATCCCTCATCGCCGGCAGAAGGCCTGCCGACTTGGTGTTCGAGGACACGCTGAAACCTTGTGCTGTGGCAACTTACAGAGTACATGCTTCTACAGAAGCTAAGTTCTGTAGTGACGCTCACAGATGCCTGCTTCATGGAAGTCTTCCACTATTCGAGGACGACGCCAGCTCACCTCTGTGTCCTTGACGATGTTCGCGAGGCGCCACCCTTGACCTTCGCCTTGGGTTCTTACATACAGTGTGGATGCAAGATACAAGGAGGCGACTCGGTGTGCAAACACTCATGGATGATGGTGAGCACCTCTGCAACCTATAGAGTTCGTTGCCTAGGGTTTTGTGCAGGGTAATAGCAACGCTAACCGACTATATATATCTCAAGGATTTATATTGAATCCGGACGCTCGCTCCGGCTTGGACTCAGGGAGCCCATTTCGCTCGCATTTTGGTTCCTTCATTATTACTCGGGCTTTTTCATACTGACGGCTTCTGCGGTACCTTTCTGGTGTTCGCGTGCGCTGATAGCAGGGTGTTGCGTACCGCTTCGGACATCGGCCGCTTCGCATTCCGGCGGGCATCCGGCGACACCTAGTCGTCACGCAAATGTGATCATCGAGGACACAAGTGTCAATGGCTAGTCATGAAGACGATAGTTTGCGACTCCTATATGGTCCTATCCAGGTGGACCACCACAGTCAACGCTCACGAGATGACAATCCGCAGCGCATGCGGATGCTCTCGGTCAGTTCCCGGTCGTCCTAGGTGCGCTTCTCTCCTTCTCTATCCCATCTTTTCCTTCTTCGCAAAGCCCGCGACGATCGGCTGTGCCCTTCACATTAAATATGGCGGATTGCCCATATATCGACGTCCCTTACACCCTGGAATGCAATCTCGTTACTTCTCGTGCATGCGCGCTCCGTGCTTGAAAAGGCTTTATCCTGACACTGTGAACTATACATACTCGAATCGTCACTATGTCGGGTGCCGCAGCAACATAGCAGCACTGCCGACAGCGCCGCTGCACTAGCAACAGTGCCCGTGACGGCGTGCCTGAGTTCTGGGGATCCAGGGATCCTTGTCTTCCTGTTGGTGAAATCGCGCTCACATCTTCTCCGGGTGTTGAAAAACATTCTGGAGTATCCAGTTCGTGCATAGCGATCCACGGAAACGCCGTCAGCAGAATGATCTTAGCGGTTATGGCGGTCTCCATTCGGCGCTGCCCCTGTCATTATATACTCAGTCGCAACGGGCAATTGGGGGACACGTGAGCCTCGTGGGTGCCCTCGCGGCTGCCTAGTCCACTCTTTTGGGGTGGCCGCGCGGGGAGAACGTCCATTGCCGGTCCCATAACATGACAGACAGCCCGAGCGTAGGGACGCACGATTTCGCGCAATCCGGACAGGAGCTCGCGCTCGAGAAGATGTCTCGTTCATTAGTGTTACACCATTGGAACGTCCTCGGTTGGCGAGGCGCACGCTCGGACCGCTTATTGTAACGCCAGCGACGCGCACGCAATCCTTCGCAGTTTACGCCAAGTACCTCCATCCCCTAGCAGGAGCGGAGCGTCGATCCGCGAATATGAAGCGGAGGCTTACAGCTCGGGGCCTCGGGCTGATGCATCGCACTCGCGCGCACCGGGTCGATCACAGTGTCCGAATCGATTCATCCTATCCCTCATGCCGATCCGGTCCACTCGGTGGAAGGTTGGATTCCTTGTCACGCAGTGCGTTGTGTCTGTCTCCCTTAGGGGCGTACTAGTAGCGTCATTAGACGTCTTCGTGTCCTTAGTTGCGTAAAATTACGCAGTGCTGTTCCCACTACCTTCCCCGGTATCCGGCCAATGAAGCACGCGGCTGCTCCGAGTGCTTTCACTGTTCCCTGCTCCACACACGGGCGTGGACACGACCGTCGAGCGGAAATGATGCGGCTTCCACAGCGAGATAGGGTGAAGACGTACTGCCTTGCGTACATATCTTGATGCTTTCCAGAGCACAGCGGGTCACGACCCGAACATAAACTATTTGAGGTCAATGCGCAGCCTGAGCGTAATCGTTTACAGAATTTAACGTTGGGGGCGACAACTTGTCGCTCCACCAAGTCAGATTGGGGGAGCGTCCCTATAACATTTCCAAGGACTCTCGAACGGTCTGAGACCCCGCAGGCCGGCCGCAAACAGTCCCCGTGACATCAGGTCTAGGTTCAAGCAAGACTAGCGGTTATAGCGCTACGGACGTCCCATGGTCTCCTGTTCCCGGCGAAACTCGCAGCATGAGCTTGCATGCCTGCGCCTTGCTCGTTCGTTCTTTGAACTTCTACAAATAGTCTGTACGTCCTCCATGACGCAAGGCGTGAGAGCCTCGAGGTTGCTGACGACGTCAGTATTGCCTCGCGGGCCTTCTACTCACCCGTACGGGGTAGAGGCGCCCGTGCGTGTTTCATGCCCCGGTCGTCGTGAAAAGTTAAATCCCCCGCTTTCGTCACCGTGATGCGATCACTATACCCCATGATGACTGTAGCGTTCACCCGTCTGTGTAGGTGAGGTGCTAATGAGCAGGAGAGACCGACGGACGTGACAACCCCAACACGTCCACGATCGCGGACGCACCCTACTAACTTTGCTTCGGTGGACACGGGATGCACAAGTAAAGGGGGGAAATGCCGATGGATGTACTTGAAGCTTGATCCTTTGATCTACCCAGGGTCATTGCCGTCTATGCCGCGCGCAGCGGGGCTGGTCAGCTGCCGCAGAACCCCTGAAGGCCTGACCTCTGACCTTCCTGTCCCTCGTAAGGTCTTGGGTGAACGACACGTATACATATGCCCAGCCATGTGTCTAGTCAGCTCTCGGGACCATCCGTGGAGGCTAGCACAGGATGGCCGGCAGCGTCCGCAACTGCGTTCAAAACCCGATATCAGCCTGGGATTTCTGAGGTGGGCTGACAAGGACGGCCAATGGGCTACTAGGCTACAGTCACGGTGTTGCGTGCACGTCAAGCCACAACCCAACAATATATCTCTGTTGTATGTCTGTTCTCGCCGCCGAAAGCTTCTCGACGTCGACGTGTGCTAGTGGATCAAGGCCCCGAGCGGTGAGGCTAACCTCGTTGTGAACGCGGGGAAACAGGGGCAGACCGTGAACAGCTCTACATAGGTACCGTACCTGGGCGCGGCGATTGCGGGAGGTAATTGAGGATGCATAAGTCGTAGCCTCATTGCAAATGGCCCGTGGATTACTCTTGGCTCAGCAAGCCACCAAGATCAGCAGCTGTGGTCATATGTCGATAAACGTACGCGTGGGTGATATAACGCGCGTGGCGAGCGATGTTGTTTGCATTATCGCCGTGTGCGTCAGTTATGCTGCGAGCATGCAGAAATTGGCTACCTAAGCGTGAGCATACACACACGTCTATCAGAATCGGCTTACAGTCATACACCACTCCTTTTGACAGCACCACTCCTTTTGACAAAGACCGATCGCTGTTCCTCCTCCGTACCCCCTTCCTTTTTATGTTCATATTCCTATTCTTATACATTGTAGTTACATATCTACAAGTTTGGGGGCTTACTTCCCCTCGCGATGTTTTCATACAGAGGAATGATCACTCGAAATTGGCCAAATATGACTCACTCGCTAGATCTTGACCGCAGTGTAGCGATCATAAAAAATCGGAGACTTACAACACTGTCACTAGGTTCTTCTCATAAGTTTGAGTATATTTGTAGCCTTATCGAGGGGAATGGAGTATCATAGATGAGACTGGCAACATGGTTGCCATTGCCATCAAACAGGTTGTCACACTGCCACATTGGGATACGATTTTGGGATGACCGACGTATGACCGAGAAGGCATATGTGCGAAGCGCCCTTCCAGCGCTTCATTCGCAATCTGCTCGCTCTGCACCTCATTGGACGAGGACAGATAATCTTTCCCCTTTTGGTAAGATCTCTAGCGTGATGTGACTGTCAAAAGGACTGCATATGGCCTGATAACGAATTCCGCGACAGATCGTCTCGGATTTCCTACATATCCACTACTCTACATACTAAAACTAGCATAGAACTATTGTAATGTGGTGCCCGAATGGATCTGCGAGACTGATTGAGTATTGCTACAGTAGATCTGAAGAAATCTGAGTCACATGTTTTTCTGTCAAAAGGAGTGGTGTATTACTGTAGTTCTG